GTTGTTAGATAGAAAAAGCCCGTAACAAAACGAAAAGCTTCGATGATTCTTGACGTGATGGGGCAAAGAGAATCGAATGCCCAAAAATGGTCGAAATTGCGAATTTCAAATTCAGGCAATTTTTTTTGAAAAATGGTGTTTCTAGCACCGAAACCGACTTTCAAACAGCTATAAAAAGCGCCGCAGGCAGAAAAGATCTCGGGAAAAAATCATCAGGTTCCCTTATGAGCCTTCGGCTGATTTCGGGAGGGGGATCCGAATTTACGCCATTTTTAGGCTTAATTTCGACCTCAAACGACTTTTTAACGCGGAGTCCGCAGTAAATTTGGAACAAAATTTGCTGCGGACTCCGATTCGGAATTTTAAACAATTCGGAATCAGCAAAAAAAATTCTGCACAAGATAGGCTTGGTCCCATTCTAAAATGCCAGCCTGAGTAAAAACACTTTACAGTCAGAGGAAACAAGGCTACTGGGTCCGAACGTTATTTTGACGTTTTAGCTTGCTTACTGGTTGCGGTCCAGCGATCCGGATCCATTGAAAACGGTTGGCCATCAAAAATCGATGCGCCGATTTCTTCAGGAACACCTTAAACACAACTATGAATCAGTAATCCATGATTCTGGATAATTCTTTAACCAAACCCATAAATACATAGTATGTATTACATACCTTAGAAGTGCGGCGCAACAGCCACTTCTCCCAAACACGAAGATTTAGGTAGACGGCCGATTTTTGAATTTCGTTGAGCTTACGAAAGTCGAAGCGCGTGCCCTGCGTCATTCTAAATTGTCGACCGAAATATAAAAATAGATGCGCTTGAATTTGCGTTCGAATTCAAAAATTAAAAAAAGCTCAAGATCTTATAAAATTTTGCAGGTTTTCGGGGTAGCATACGCGAAAATTTGCCTCAATTTCTGCAAGCAAAATGGCCGCGAGTGGCCGGAAATTAGAAGCAAAGGCCGTTCCTTAATGTTTTAAATGCATTTAAATTGTCAAATAGCGCATTTAAATAAAAAGATGGTTTTGAAGATTGTTGCAAACTCGCCTTTTCAAGGGCTTTTAAATGCTGTAACTAACATTCCGATACGATCAGTCTGCATGGCGTTAGAGGAGGGTGTTTTTATTGGGGAAACCCCTGTAGAGATAATGGCAAACAAACAAATTCTTTGTGGAAGTGAAAAAGGTTGGCTACAATTTGAGGTGGATGGAAAAAAAGATGGCTTGGCGGCCCTTCTTGCGCTGAATCTCATCTGCTGGGTAGACCGGAAAACGTGCTTGGTTATACTCAATAAATACCGCTAACGAAACCGAATCGGACCATACACCCTCTTACCCACCGCTGCCACATCCCCACACGCGTTAAAAGGGTTGGACATTTTTTGAATCCCCGGTAAAAGTTTAAGAAATTATTGCAGCGCTTGACCCCGAGGTGTCCCAAGAAACGGGTCGACTTGACGATCGTGTGCCCTGGGGCCATTTTTCCAGATGTACGGGGTTTTCCAAGAAAAACGACGCCTTCCATCCAATCGATTTGATTTGATTTGAACACATTTTGCCTGAGGGGCTAATTTTAGATTATTGTAGGCTCAAATTAAAACGCTTCGTATATTTTTCGACGCTCTATCAAATGGCGTTTAAAAAAATCCCGACCAAAATAGCAAAATACCGAAAACTTTGAGACCCTTGGGCTGTGAGGCGAAGTAAATTCTTACCGGGGGGACCCTTACGATTTTTTCTCAAAAATTTTTCAGCCTGCGGCGCTGTTTATTACTATTTTAAAAACGGTTTTACTTCCGGAAAACCTATTTTTCGCTTGCAATTTTGTAAAAATTTTTTTGGTCTGCGGCGCCTTTTTGGTGGCGTACGGGCCTGCGTATGACTTATGACTTATAGTAGTAGTAGTGGCTCATTAGTTATAACGAAAATACGATTTTGTTCAGCAGTTCTAAGCAGTTTTCTCGGTTGGACCTTGCATCGATTTGCAATGATTTGAGAGAGACACATCCTCAATGAGGGAGAGAGAGAGAACGAGAGAGTGAGCGACATTCTGATATTTTTGCTCTTTCCCACGCCAACGCCAAACTACAACTATATTTTCGTTGGATTTACGTTTTGCAGGTTGCGTCAAAATTCCTATGAGGTGGGAGGTGTCAAGCTCGGGGGCCACCTGGACCGGCAAATATTTGGCCTTCCGATCGACTCACCCACCCATTTAGCCCAGCAATTGCGCCCCGCAGTTTTTCATAATCTCCATTTCGGAGGGACCCCTGTTTGCCGAGGCGGCTCTTGATTAGGTTTTTGGGGGGCGAGATATCGGGGTGGTTTTTTGGTCCGGGCTACGTTAGCGGAGCTGCTTTATCTTCGTGAGTCCCGAATTTTCTTGCTAGGTAGGGGAACCCGAATCTAAAGAGTTTTCAAAAATACCTAACTAATTTTGTTTCGCGTATATGCTTATTTTTGCTATTGATTTAATTGCGAATGCTTTAATTTTCATCTAAATCCATGGCTAAAATTGCAATGTCAAGCATTGCGTGTCCCGTTAAAGTGATCACGAAGTGAGAACAATTTCTTGCAATATATCCCTCTCTCTCACTATCTCTCTCATTCTCTCATTCTCTCTCTCTCCCTTTTCCCTCCCTCCCTCTCTCTCTCTCTCTCTCTCTCTCTATTTCATTCTCTAAAAATTTAAAGCGGCCACGAACGGGTTTTGTAAGGAATTCCCGGAAATTGAGGCATGCTAGCAGAGATTACTGAGGCAGCAAGGGCATGCTAGCAGAGATCATTGAGGAAGCGAGGGCAGGCTCGCAGAGATCATTGAGGAGTCGAGGGCACTAGCAGAGGTTTTTGAGGAAGCGAGGTGAAACCACCGTGCCTGAACCTCTTCTCTTAAAATCTCTTCGCCTACATGCCCCGGGTACAATTCCGGTCGGAACCATTTTTTTTGCTTTTTGTTTTTTTTTTGCCGTTTGCTTGCCCTCCTTTCCAATGACCGGATGGAAATTTTAGTACCCCATTCTGGGGCCCACTTTCCGCGGCGTAGGCGGCCGTTCCCAGTGGATGGGCATTGTTGCGTCAACATTTGGCCCTTTTTGGGCCCTAAGGGCCACACTCACCGGCCCACATCTACCCTGAATAGTTGATGGCCAGGGTTGACCTCTCCCCGCGACGATTGTACACATCAAAATGAAGCATGATGGTGTAAATAACGAGTGCGGAGGGGCGGAAAAGGGTACGAAAAGCGCAGAGTATGCAATTAACTAGCTTTTTATACAAGCAGACGTCCTGAAAATTATCGAGTATAGCAGAAAGGCTATCAACTATATAAGCACCAATTTTTAGCCTGGAATACTGAAAATATTAAAAGTTATACAAGTTTTAGAAAACAAACAAGATTTTCCTTGATTTCAACGCGATTTTTCTGTTGTTTTTACGTTTGTCGTTTAAATTAGCGGACCATTAACTTTATTACAGTTGGTTTTGTATCGCTTATTTTGTTAATAAGCTTTTTGGCAATTTTTCATAGAAATGGCTCTATTTAAAGTTGTACCCCAAAAATCCGCAACATTTTGACCGCCCGGATTTTCCGAAACGCTCCGGATTTCATCGGGTCTCCCACCCGAATTAGGGATCATTCGCCCCGGGCGGATTTACTTATTTATTACACGCGACGTGGGGGGTTTTTCTTTTTCGCCGGCCCACGCTTTTTTGGAAATTTCGTCATGAGAAGAACGAAGTCCGGCTTACTCCTAATAAACCCATCCTGAGCCAAGCTTAAGTAAGCTAAGGGTCAGTTAAGCCTAGGCCTAAGCTAAGCCAAAACCTTAGCCTACGCCCAAGTCAAGCCTAGACCAAGCCTAAGCCAAGCCTAAGCCAAGCCTAAGCCGAGCCTAAGCCAAGCCTAAACGAAGCCTACGCCAAGCCTGAGCCTAAGCCTAGGCCTTAGCCGAGCCTAAGCCTAGGCCTTAGCCGAGCCTAAGCCAAGCCTATGGCTAACCTAAGCCTAAGTGCTATCCCTGGAACACCCCTAAATGGGCCCACCCGAATTAAATTACCCAAAGTAGCTGAAAGGCCAGAATGTCTGACTAACTGACCAAGTGGAGTGAGTGGCTTCCCTCCCATCCGATTGCTAATCTGGCATCTCCTGGGTGGTGAAGGGGTCGTCGTGGGGTTGCCCCCCTTGGCCACAATCAAGTGCCCATCCTGGCCCCGCCCCCTTTTTGGCCATCGCCCCACCCAGGCATGCCCTGAGGGCATTTCTTTTCAAGGGGCAACACGCGCCCCCTGCCTTTCAACGAAATTTCCAAGGGCCGCTCACTTTTTACGGCAGCGTTATTAGGTGCTGTTGGAAGTTATTTTTGGGCCTGACTAGTTTTGGGCAAACTCCTAATTTTGCATTGCGCGTTTACGCCTTTTTCCTGAATAATCACGGCTAGTTTGCTCACGCTTCCTCAACGATCTCTGCCGGCTTGCCCTCCTTTTCCTCGATGACCTTTGCTAGATGGGCCTGAATTTTCTACGGGGTTTCTGCTAAATTTCTGAATATTTCTCAAATATCTCTAGATCCTGCTGCTTGCTCTTCAATTGCGAGTGAGAAGGAGCGAGACAGAGAGAGAGATAAAGAGAGCTAGAGAGAGTGACTGGCAGAGAGAGAAATAGCGAGAGAGATGGGGGCGAGAGAGATCAAGAAACTCGTGCTCAACTTCACGAGCCCGTTAAAGCCACCAGAATCCCACAGGGAGCTATAAAAACAAAAAATTAATAGCGTGCCATTTCTCAAAATTCTTCCATGAAGTGTAGCTGAATGGGGGCTTTTTGCAGCCGTGTCAAAAAATTGGCACCGGTGCTCATTAGCGGAATTAATTTCTTCTTTTCCTTGGCCCCATGGGATACCTAAATAAGTCTGTTTCTGTGAAATTCGGTAATGGCGAGAAGCTTCACGAGCGCGTCTAGCTGGAATTCCAACTTCTTCAAAGAGGACGACGGGTTCAGGTTTTTACAATGTTTACCCTACTCCTTTCCCCAGGGGTAATCTGTTGTTTTGATCAGAACGTGGGAATGAGAGTCAAGGACCCGGTTTTTGGAATTTGAGCGTTTCTGAAATTCGAGGGACCTTGTCTCGGGCTCCGGCTCGTCATCCCCACACCTATTATCCGCTTTCAGGCGCTTCCGCGCTCTCTCTCTCTCTCTCGCTCTCTCCCTCTCTCTCAACTCTCTCTGAGAGCTTCACGTTTGTTCACCTGCCGGAAAAAATCCGGGAAAGCTCAATTTCTTTTCTTTTACTCCGTTTTGGTACTCGCAACACTCTATGATCCATAAAATGGCGGAAGCAAAGAATCTCTGCTAGCCTGCCCTTGCTCAAAGAATCTCTGCTAGCCTGCCTTTCCTCAAAGATCTCTGCTAGCCTGCCCTTCCTCAACGAATTTTCTTTTCAGATGCTACCCTCATTACTCCTGCTGATGGTGACAATTCTCCCCCCGCTTCGCGCCGTGGTCTGCTGGCAGTGCGGCGGGGCAGTGGGTGATTTCATGTCGTAATCGGTTTCCGGAGTTTAAATTTAAATTTTAAGCGCCAATTTCGCGTCGTAATCGATTGGTTCTGGTCGCAGGATAAAGTGTTCCCTTTATTTCATGTCGTAATAAGCAGACATGGCAATTCCGAACGGCCGAGCCGCGCGGACAGGCCGGCGGCCTAATTTCCATAAAAACCGCGGCCCCCTACGAGCCGCCGTAATTAGTTACTTCCAGAAATGCGGCTTTGCGGTTCAGCCGAATTTGATCGCGGCTCGGCCGGGCCGCTGCGGCGAAGCCGCAAACCGGAAGTGGCTCATTTACATACTAAAAATCTGCGAATTTCATGCGAAATGGCAATGGAAATGAGAAAATTAAGGTTGTCGAAAATAAATATTCCTCGTTAGCAAGCTAAACACCCATTGCATCTCTGATTTACGTACCGGAAGTTCTCAAAACTCATTTGGATGCGGCTTTGAAGGCCGCGCGGCCTCAAAACAGAAAAAAGCCGCGGCCGCACCGGAAGTGCGGCCAAGCCGCGCGACCCGGCCGCATGCTAATTTTTGCGGCCGAAAAAGCCGCGCGGCCCGGCCGATTGCCATGTCTGGTAATAAGTTATCGCAGGCACCTGATGGGCCTTTTATCGCGTAAGCGGTTCCGCCAACTTTTAAAAGTGATTCCGTGTCGTAAACAATTAAGACAACCTCTCGTTCAATATTTATCCCCAGATTTGAAGCCGTAATCAGCTGCCCCCACCTTTTAAAGTCTAAAATTTATGTCGTCATCGATTCCCCGAGCTCTTAAGTTTCCCAAAAAAAACCACATCAACAAGCGTAGAACAACGAGCAAAGCTCGGGCTCCTTCTCCGTGCTTCTTCTCCCCCTTCAGGAGTCCCGCCAAGAATCCACCCCGGTAATTCGATGCCGACGCTCGAATCGAGTTCCCCCATTGTGTTGCTCTTTTTCACCCCTCATCCCATCCCCTCCACCCAGATTTTGGAACCTAAAAAACGCGCGAAAAAGATAAGGAAGTCACTCTCATTCTCACTCGCTCGCTCGCTCGCTCGCTCTCTCTCTCTCTCTCTCTCTCTCTCTCTCTCTCTCGCTGTCTCTCACTCTCCCATTCAACTTGTTGAAACGACTTTTAGGTCATTATTTCCGGTGTGAAACAATGGCCATTTCAAATACCTGGGGCACCGTTTAGGAAATGACCCGGAACTGCTTTTTCGGGTTGCAAAAAAGACCATTGAAAATACGTTTTCGGACCCTTATTCAAAGAATACTTGCTAGCCTGCCCTTCCGCAAAGAATATCTGCTAGCCCACCCTTCCTCAAAGGATCTCTGCTAGCTGCCCCCATCTCCCCCAGTTCATTTCTTCCGGCTGTCAACTACAGGGTGGGCCAAAAAAAAACAACAGGTTTGGGCGCGATTATCTCGAGAACCTTAACGAATTCATGGTGGGTTGATGGCTGAAAACCATTTTCTCGGCCTGGAAAAGAAATAAAACACAACTTGATTTTTTCGATTTTTGGCGACGTATCAATACAAATGACACCCGGAAACTGTGCGTTCCGGGAAAGTTTAATTTCAGTTTTCTCAGCCACCTGTGGCGGGGTATTTCTAATTTTTGCTGTGTAAATTCTTGTAGGCAATAGATAGATACATGCAAAATTTAGGATTTTTCTGAGGTCTGGTTGAAAAGTTATCGCGGACTGAAATTTAGTATGGAGAAATTTAGTAAATTTCGGGTATTAAAAAAACCTATGGTGAAAATCTCAAACGAAGTCGTTGTCGATTGCCTACAGACTCTATACTACCACATAAACATATTAAAGAATTTTTTAAGATCGGTGATTTTTCGAGTTTTTCAACGACCCACTGGTCATGGATTTTTTCGAGGTCACGAAACCGAACTTTCAAAAAATATTTCTAAGATTGTAAATAGAACCTAGGTGTTTTCTTTGCTTGGTTGTGTAGGACTGGCGTCCATCTATCATGTAGACAATTTCTAGCTACCGTACCCCTTTGGAAGGTTGCCTTTTAGTGCTTCCAAAACGGTTGGTTCGTGCTATTTCGCAAACCTCCGTGCCAGTCTATAAAATTCAATTGCGCGGTTAGAATTATTGTCATAATTTTATTTAATACTGCTTAATTGGCGCATTCAAAGATTATATTAACAAATTTATTGGGCCATCCGATCTTTCAAAAGAAATTCATGAAATGCCCAAATATACGCGACTTTGAGGCGACTTAAAAAAATTCTCGAAGCTCTAGTAGCCTCGACGTTTCTGGCATATACCAAGCCTGGGTAGTCAACTAGAACCCATGCAAATACAAAATCTTTTCATGGCAAACGAATTTAGAAGAGCACCCCAAAGTCGACTTTTCAAAAACGTTATTTTCGGGTTTTAGATCAAAATGAACCATTAACTTCATCCAGATCATTCCAGTATTCTGCTCTCATGCACATTTCGATGCGTGCTTTAATTATATCCACGAAACTCCGGCGGGTTTTTCTTTTTCAAAAATTCGATTTTCGAGCCAGGACGTCGGGTCCAAAATCGGGGCCCGAGGGGCGGTTTTCCTCTTTCCCTGATAACTTTGTCATTTGCCACAGGAATCAAGTAATTTTTTGTAGGTGCTCTTACAATCACCCAGAGAACAGTCTAAAGTCGAAAAATTGGCATTTTATGGCATTTTGTCTTGGCATGCTAAAACGCGCTCCAGGCGGGTTACTGTAGAAAACAGAAAATCGCCGTTTTCTCGTGCTTTTCACCATAGAAACGTTTCGTTCTTTCAGGAAAACAAATAATAGTAGTTTTTGGTCCCATGCATCAAAATATTTAGACATTTCCGTGGCTAGATTCAAAAATAAGTTTTTTGCATATTTTGGGAAGGTGTATGGCTAGAACTTCGCGAAATTTTGCCCATAGGTGACCCTTACTGGTGTTTACCAATGATAAAATTTTAAGCAACATCGCAGCTTACGATAAAAAGAAAAACGCGAAAAACAAAAACTACAGTATCCCTCTGGGGCACGTTTTAGCAAGCAATATTAAAATACCATAGAATCGGGTAAAATTTGGTGTTATATTGAAGATTATCATTCGGAGACACCATCTGCAAAAGATCAGCCATGGGCAGCGTATTTGAAGCGAGTTGCGAATTAAAAAGTAAAAATAAGCAAAATAGGGAAATTTGTTTTGCCTGTAAAAAAAGAAATAAACCTTCAAAAATTCTAAGAATTGAGGATTACCTTTCTACAAATATCAGCTATTATTAGGCCAAAAAACAGAATTTTCCCACCACCCGTTCAAGAACGCACAATTTTCGGTCGTAACCGGCGTCAATAGTACAGTTGCGTACTCAAAAATCGGAAAAATCAAGTTGTGTTTTATTTCTTTTCCAGGCCGAGAAAATGGTTTTCAGCCATCAACCCACCATGAATTCGTTAAGGTTCTCGAGATAATCGCGCCCAAACCTGTTGTTTTTTTTTGGCCCACCCTGTACCATGTTCCGCCTTGGAACGGACGAACGGCCCGTCGGGATGCTAATTGGATCTCGTGGGAGCGCAGGCTTTTGGTTCCAGACCCGGGAAAAGCCGAAAATTCGTCGAAAGACAACGAGAAGAATTGTGCCATCACACCTGAATGAACTCAAATAGACATGGCCGGCTGGGCCTTAGCCAAGGGGCACGTCCAAAATGTGCAGAATTTTCGCCCGGAAGCTGCTCACAAATGGCCCTGCTGCTATTACGGAGGGAAACACTAGCGTACATAGTGGTGGAAAGTGGAGCGTAGCGGAATTGTTAGAAGCAAAGAAGCGGCTGTAAACTAGTATTTTTTCGGGAAAACTTAAGCCTAAGCCTAAGCAGGCTAGCAGAGATTCTTTGAGGAAGGGCAGGCAGCAGAGAATTTTTGATCAGGTGTAAGGTCTCTGAATACCTCATTTATTCAATTCCAGCCATACTCCGCGGGTGTTCGCGTCCTCTACTCGACGTGTTGCCGACCGGAGCGTCGCGTATGCGAACCTGGGCTGACCTGTCTACGCGCCACCGTCGACGCGCCGAATTTAAAGTTTATTCTGTCAGGTATCTACGTTCTCGCTTTAATATGCCGAATTTAATCTTAAATGGCTTGGCTCAGTGGGTAGAGCAGGCGCTTCCAAAGATAGAGCTCGGGGGTTCGATTCTTGGGGCCGTAAAACTTGCTTTTTGTTCAGAAGTCGAGTTTTCGCTTTTTTTAGTGGGTCCGAGAAGTTTCTCTTAACCCTCTGGCTTTAATCAGCTGGCGCAGTCGTTAGAGCAGCCGCTCTCAAAGCTGGAGCCCGGGGGTTCGGATTTTCAGGTGGTCAAATTTTTGCTTTCTGCTAAGAACTTCAGTTTTGCTTTCCTTCGTAGATCCAAAGACGCTGGACTCCAAAAATCAATCCTTCGGCCTCTATTTTCTAATGTTTATTTTTTGCGGAAGGGCATACGTGGTGGGGGCAGCTGGTTTCCGTGGGCTTGATGACGCGTCTCGTCTCCCTCCCCCATTTTGACGGCTCATTTCTCCGGCCGTTTTACTGACCCTCCCCTGAACCAAAAGCCATCGGAGAAGCTATAGAGAAGCACATCTGGCAATTTGTGACCCGCCAGCTAAACTTCAAAAGGGGGTTTATTCAGCACGAGAGTCCTGCAGTGGGGAGGGGGGTCAAAAAGTTGGCGTTGTCGTCATCACCTACTAGTAGTGCGATTTCAAAGGGAAGTTGATTAAAGGGGCCGGGAGGTCTGAAAAATTTGGGGGGAGTTACTTCCTCAATGATCTCTGCCAGCCTGCCCTCGCTTCCTCAATGATCTCTGCTAGCCTGCCCTTGATTCCTAATGACATCTGTTAGCCTGCCAAGCATTTAAATGATACCTGCTAGCCTGCCCCCTCTTCCTAAAAGATCTCTGCTGGCCTGCTCTCTCCCCCCTCTCTCTCTCTCTCTCTCTCTCTCTCTCTCTCTCTTTCTCTTGCTCTCCCCCTTTAAAGGTACCATGAACCCAACCGGCTTTTTGAGCTCTCCAGAGATTCGCTCTTGCAAAAACTCTCCTCGAAAATCGTTTCAATGTGTGGGCGTCCGGCAGGTGTTTTCTTCAATCGAGCCGGGGAGAGGCCGTTTGGGAGGGGAAATTCGATTTGGGCCGGATTTGGGGGCGGCCGCTGTTCCGCAGCATTCCGATTTACAAGATGATGGGGAGGGGGAGATGGAGGGACAAGTGTTTTGGGCTAGCAGAAGGCTCTAGTGGGAATGCTTAGAACTACAGCATAAACCGGAAAATGCTAAAACCGGACAATCAAAATACCGAAAGCTCAAAGCTCCGGAAAGGCACTTGTCAAAAACGAAAAAAATCACCGGCTGGCGGTCGAACCAGGCCATCTAGGCTGCCAACTAGCGCATTACCATTTAGCCATAGGATTTACCTCCATTCTTTTGCTTAAAACTCGTTTAAAAAGTCCGGAAAGGTGCGGTAAAATGAGCGCGGCTTCTGAATTGCCTTCCCAGTCCCTTTAAGCCCCCTCTATTCCAGGCTGTCACCCCCCGGAAGACGGTCTCGTAGGCTGTGAGACTCACCCCATCCCTCACTTCAACGCCACGCTCCGCCGATGCGTCTGTATGGACGAGCGATGTCAGAGGGACTTTCCGAAGCCGAGCAGTAGGTTCTAACGCCTGGAATTTGCCTTCCACGTCCCGTTAAAGCGCCAGATATGCTAATTTCCAGAAGATTGCGGTCCAACACCGAGTGTACCATACCCAAAAGTGGACCCTGACGACAACCTCTTCACAAATTTGATCAACAATATTGAGGAATCGGATGAGAAACGGACAGGTGAGTACTGTAGTTACAGTATTTTTACCGCTCGATTACACTAACTGGCAGTAATATCCTTACATTATTCCCAAAATCGTGAATTACGGCGAATACCCGAATTTTCAGAAAATTCCGTCGAGTTCCGGTCATCAGAAGAGGAGTATCGGTCGTTGAGGGAACGGGAGAAGCCGGCGAAGGTAAGCAGGCTAGCAGAGATCAATGAGGAGGCGTCCAGGCTAGCAGAAATCATTGAGGAAGAGAGGGCAGGCTAGCAGTGATCATTGAGGAAGCGAGGGCAGGCTAGCAGAAATCATTGAGGAAATGAGGGCAAACTAGCAGAGATTTTGAGGGTCTTTTATGCGTTATACAATTCTATTTTAGACCCCAAACCACGAGCGAGCTTCATCTGAGCGTGGCTATCAGCCTTCCCCAGTCCAAAGCCCAAGCTACTACCGAAAAACGACAACGAACGAAAAATTGGCAAGCCGAACGTCAGCGGCTGCTCAGCTTTTCTCATTTTCTCTCGCTGTCTCCCTATTTTTCTCCATAATTCTGTGATCAAGCCGTTTATATTCTCACCAAAATACGGGTCCGTTTTGCATAATTGATATTTTTATCTAGAACCGATCGTGATTTTGTGCAGTTTGTAGTATACTACTGTATCTATCAGAGATTGCCTTCCGGAATCCCGAATGGACCCGCGATTCTACTTCCATATCCGTTGCTCACCTATTAATTTGTGTTTTTGGGTTGATAAATGTATGTTTTGAGAATTGTGTTGTACGGAAAAAACTTTGCTATCCTGCCCTTCCTCAAAGAATCTCTGCTAGCCTGCCCATCCTCAAAGAATCTTTGCTATCCTGCCCTTCCTCAAAGAATCTCTGCTATCCTGCCCATCCTCAAAGAATCTTTGCTATCCTGCCCTTCCTCAAAGAATCTCTGCTATCCTGCCCATCCTCAAAGAATCTTTGCTAGCCTGCCCTTCCTCAAAGAATCTCTGCTAGCCTGCCCATCCTCAAAGAATCTTTGCTAGCCTGCCCTTCTTCAAAGAATCTCTGCTAGCCTGCTGCCCTTCCTCAAAGAATCTCTGCTAGCCTGCCCATCCTCAAAGAATCTTTGCTAGCCTGCCCTTCCTCAAAGAATCTCTGCTAGCCTGCCCATCCTCAAAGAATCTTTGCTAGCCTGCCCTTCCTCAAAGAATATCTGCTAGCCTGCCATTCAAACGAGAAATCAATTCGAAAAACGGAAATTGATGCGTCAGAAAGCAGTACGTCGATTTATGCGTCAGTTTCCAGTCAAAACAACGCGATATTCATTTAAAAAAATATGCTTGAAATCCAGACTGTTTTCCTACACCGTTTCGTTCCTTCGGTTAATTATGGCGGCTTCAAATTTCATCCAAAATTGCCTAAATGTGTTATGATATCTCTAACACCGGCCCTGTCATAGTTAAAATGAAGAAAAGGTTGCTGCAAAACTCAAAAATTAAGCAATTTTTAATACCTTACGGCAATAATCGAGCTACCAAAGTACTTCCATTAATTCAGGATTTTTCGGACTGCAAATATCTCTGTATTCCCTTTGAAAAAGCTGCAAGCGAACATCAGAACTTTTTACATCGATTTTTTATGTGAGAATGGCGCGTCATGCGTGCCCCAAAAATTCGTATTCAACCCACGCTTCCGGAAAGCTGAAGATCTGCGGCTGCCAGGATTCCGGAATTCTGCATAACATTGGCATGATCTAACTAAAGCTAGCTTTAAAGCTACATTTCCAGAGTGACTATACGTATCACGCTGAAAATTTGCGAGTACGAAACAATGCTGCTTCCGCACCTGTTCGCCAAATTTCATGAAAATCGGATATAATTTGACAATTTTATGATGCTTAGAATTTCCGTGATTTCAGGTGCTCAAAAAATATTTGAATTCTATGCAAATCCCCGAAAACCCTGTGTCATTAATGCGCAAAGTTGTTGACCTTTCTTGAGTGCTTAGTATTGTAGTGTAGCGCATTGTTGTGCCTGCGCGCGCTCGAGTATTTTGTGGCTGGTGCTCGCTGCGAGGCCGTACTCCCTGGAAACGCTGCAGGGTCTATCTCCCCCCTCTCTCTCTCTCTCTCTCTCTCTCTCTCTCTCTTTCTCTCTAGCTCTCTCTCTCTCTTTCTCTCTCTCGAGTACAGAGCAGAGTTGATTGTTCGCTCATCGGTAGCGATCATCACCTATCAATTCCGCCCATCTATCACCCCCAATCATACTCATCATTTCCGCCCCAGCCTCCTATTAACGCTATTGATTTGTACTACTTCTCGCTGTTATAGCCCCAGGGCAAATCCGGAAATTACGCTTCTTAGTACAAGTGTTCCTTCGTAGTTTTGCTAGCAAATCAAAAAATTCCGAAAGAACGTTCCCCTAGGAATCTCTGCTAACTTGCCTTTCCTCAAAGAACCTCTGCTAGCCTGCCCACCCTGCTTGAAGATGTTCTGGGCATATTCCTCAAGGTTCTTTGCAAACAACCATTTCCCGGACATTAAAGCACGAAAAATTATCGTTATTTTATTTTAAGAGTTATTTTAGTAATGTCGTTATCGCCGTTAAAGCCCGATAACTTAGTAAGTCAGGGTACGGTAACCCGTCTGAAGCCTCGGTACACCAATCGAAACTAAATTTTGCATTTTTCCATGCCAGATTTTTTGTCCTGCGGTTTTCTAACCCGTCTAACTAGGTCTTTATCTACTATTTTCAGCCGCTAAACCATGCCTCGCTCAATGTTCTGGGTGTTCCTCGGCCTACTGCTCCATATACAAATTGCTGACGGGATCTCGGCAAAATATCAGCAGCAGAGGTGGGTTGAGAGAGATGAGAAACAGTTATGTTTTTAGTAGCTCATCGGAAGAAGAAGACAGCAACTGGCAGTGTGGGACGGATTTTATTACAAAGGCGATGAGCGAGGGGCAGGTGGAGACGGATTGTCCCACACTTAAAGGTGAGTTGCGAGCGATCTCTCTCTCTCTCTCTCTTTTTCTCTCTCCCTCCCCTTGTCACTTACTCTCTGTCTCTCTCTGTCTCTCTCGCTCGCTCTCGCTCGCTCTCTCTCTCTCTCTCTCTCTCTCTCTCTCTCTCTCTCTCTATCCTTCCTAGCCAAACCAGAATTGACTCCTGAAGGCAAGCAAGCAGAGATCTCTTAGGAAATCTGATCCTACGATGTTAAATTTTTACAGTCCCAATCAACAATTGCTGCCTGGCCCACGATAACTGCTACGATCAGCAACTTGGACGAAAGTACTGTGACGACATTTTCTGCCGTTGTCTATTGGTGCGCCTGAAAGATACGTTATCTACCGTAACCCTAGGTGGCCACTGAACCTGCCGAGATCTGTTTTAAAGAGGACGCGCCGCTGTTCTGCAGTTTGGTTCGACAATTCGGGGAGGCCGCTTATAAGTAAGTCTTGGTCTCTCTCACACGCTCTCTCCCCCCTCTCCCTCTCTCTCTCTCTCTCTCTCTCTCTCTCTCTCGTTCTCAATATAGCTCTCTTTCTATCTCTCGCTCTCTCTCGCCCATACTCATTTTTTCAGTGCTTCCGGTCCCCTCGCTAGAGCCACACCTCCACCCCTTGTCGCCACTACGTTAGCCGGAGCACCGATTAGGCAAAATACCCGCCAGCCCGGAGACTCGAGGCCCAAACTCGTCCCTATCGACACAAGCGTTGAAGCTGCTCAACCTGTTCAGCCTGTTCAGCCGGCACAACCTGTTCGCCCTGTTCAGCCCATTCACCCTGTTCACCCGGCCGGACCCAGGCCTCGCTCTCAAAGGTGAGAAAGTAGTTTTAGACCCCATGCACGAATGGTAGGGCGGGAAAGATGAACGGCACGTTTTGCTAAGCCGTCTCTGGTGTACTCCTTTAAAACGTCATTTTTCAGGTTCACCCCAGCCAACTAGCCAAGGCTCGTCGCTCCACAGCTCCATTCGTAAAGGTTTTGCCAGAGTTTACGTTGCAAATCGCGGGTATATGATAAAGTTTCTTGCCAAAAATCGATGCAAAAAAATACAGGGAAAAAGAGAGAGAGAGAGAGAGAGAGAGACAAGCAGAGAGAGAGAGAAAGAGAGAGAGAGAAAAAGAGAGGCAGAGAGAGAAAGGAGAGAGAAAGAGCTTTAAAGATTTACAACATGTCGTATATCTCTGTCGGGCGCCTGTGAATTTATTCACCATTAAAAGGCTCGATTATCGAAAAAATGCCGGAATCTCACTTTTTGCGTGACAATATGCTAGTTGCGGTTTTTGTGGCTCTATTGCTTATCGGACCGGCCTATTCGTAAGTTTCTTCACAGGCTGATCACATGCAGGGCTCAAACCTAAGCCCAAGCCCACGCCTAAGCCTAAGCCTAAGCCGAAGGCTTGTTGGAACAAATGGACCGCAATTAGTGAACAGTTATCCCACAACAGAGTACGGGACTGGTGGCAATGCGGAAGCAACGACGCCAACAGGCTAGCCGCTTACGAGTCCATCGACGGCGCCTGTTCGGTGCTGGCTGGTCGGTCGGTTTAAAGGGGTCCAGAAATGTCAAAAATTGGGTGACGGCCCGAAAATCGGAGGCCTGGACGTCGGAGGCCTCTGTACACCCCGGGGCCCGGGAAATAGCCTGTTGTCACTTCGAAATCACGTTCTCGGCTGTTTCTGGGCCAAATTCGATGCTTAAAACACCAAAACTATTTAAAATTGAGTGAGGATTTCAAAAATGGGCTCACAATGTGCGAATTATAGTGTTTTCACAAAGTAACCGGGCAAAAACCGTTTCGCACAAAAAGCGAAAGAATGGGTGCTCTGGTCCCGCAGCGCCCGATGGCAATTTGCCAGAAATCAAAGAGCCCTCCCAAAAGGCCTTTGATTTGGCAGTTCGTAGCCCCTTTAAAGCTATTGGTGGTGATAAGTATTGCAGAGGTTGTCAACAACTGCTGCCTCGCCCACGATCATTGCTATTCGAGACAGTTAGGGCAGGAATATTGCGACGATATGTTTTGTGACTGTCATTTGGTGAGCAAAACAGAGAGAGAGAGAGAATGAGAGAGAGAAAGTGAGATAGAGAGAGAGAGAGAGAGGGAGAGAGAGGGAGCGAGAGAACGAGAGCGAAACGAAGAGAAAAGGATACCGTTATCAGTTATTTAGATTGCCACAAAAGGCTGGGTTATCTGTCATACAGTAGTCGTCCCGGGCTTCTGCTCCCTGGTCCGGAATTTTGGCGATGCCGCGTACAAGTTTGTTCACCTGGCTTTTCCAAGATCTATATGGTTTTTAGAGCATCAGCTACTCCCGGGCCAAAGGCACTACTGCCACCCGGAGATGCGCAACATCAAGGAGACTCCACTCATTCCTGAAATTCCTGGGATAAACCTGTTCAAAAATTATTCGATCCCATGCTCCGGAATTCAAGAGCGATTGTAAATCATCATCGACGCGCCAATTGAATATTCAACCCCTGTGACGATTTACCGCGCATTAAAATGTTTTTCGATACCCAAAAATCCTGGAATATCATTTTTTGCGGAGGCAGCATGGTGGTTGCGGCTTTTTTGGCGTTACTGCTCGTCGGGCCGATATTCTCCCAATGGCTACCGGACTTAAGGTAAATTTAAAACTTTAAAGGACTGAATAAGTCTCAGCCTAGACCTATGACTAAGCCTAAGCCGAAGCTTAGCATAAGCAAGAGCCTAGCCTAACTAGGGAAGTATCTGAACTTGCCATCGAAATTTGAGAAGTCAGATACACTACTCGACGCATCGTGACAAGAGAATTCCAAATATGTAATAAAATCAACGGGAGCGCATAACGGTACAAAGTTATGAGGCTTCAAAGTCGGCAAAATGACGAAAAACAGCATCTCTGAGACCCTGTATCATCCCGCGGAATGGAATTTAGTCTAAACTAATTAGTGCTCCTTGTTCAACAAAGAAAGCTCTTTCAAATGAGCTATATTACATACGGCTGCCAAAAATTTCCGCCAAAAAATATTTTTGGAATGCAGTGTAAGGGTAGGGTATGGCCAGCTAGCCAAAGACTTTTCGAGAATTTGGCGTAAAGCGCAGGTAAGATATCTCATTCGAAAGGGAATTTTCTGCTGATCAAGATGTACTGTTCCATTTTTGACGAATTAAATTCTTCGAATTCGCACAGAGCCTTAAAAGGGCGGTTTCCGACGATTTTGCCAACTTTGATATAGAGAGCTTCCAATCCTAGTTTTGTTGTCGGAGGTTATTTTATCATCGCTGGTGCTTTTTAGGGGTCACACAGTAAAGAAAAACTTATTCCCGAGTTTGGACATGCAAAAAGTAGGAACCGGTCAAAAAGCAAAAAATAAAAATCGTCGGGATCCGAACCCTGGTCATACAGCCCAGAGACCCATGCGCAAACCACTAGGCCACGAGACCGATGGACAGGGTGCGCTGGGTGAGGCTCTTCTCGCGGCGGCGGTTTTGCATGTAAAACTTAAAATGCTCATAACTTTTTACCTTTATGCGCTCCCGTTGATTTTATTACATATTTGGAATCCTCTTGTCACGGCGCGTCGAATGGTGTATCTGACTTCTCAAAGTTCGATGGCAAGTTCAGATACTTCCCTAGTAAGCTTAAGCCAATCCCAAGTTCTATAGTAGCATCGAGGCGCCGAGCTGGTGGGAGTGTGGAAGCAATGAGGCCAACAAAGCAGCCGGCTATGCCCTAGTCAGGTCCTGTCCCGCCGGGATGCACAGTAAGTGAAGGAGAGAGAGAGAGAGAGAGAGAGAGAGAGAGAGAGAGAGAAGAGAGAAAGAGAGCGAGAGAGAGAGAGAGAGAGCGACGGTCCTTTCAAACACTTTATACAGGACTTTTCAATAACTGCTGCCTGGGCCACGACCATTGCTATAATAGACAGTTGGGACAGGAACATTGCGACGATGTCTTCTGCAAATGTCTTGATGTGGGTGCGAGAGAAAGAGAGAGAGAGAGAGAGAGAGAGAGAGAGAGAGAGAGAGAGAGAGAGCGAGAGAGGGACAAAGTTTCACCCACCTAGGTCATCACCGAAGGAACCTGGTGGTGCCGTAAAAGCCCGGCTAAAGGCTTCTGCAAGGCCGTCGAAGAGTGGGGCAAGGAAGCATACGAGTTCGTTAATTATAAAGCCAATAAACTAGCTGATTTTCTCTATTTTAGCCATTATTTTTCACTTTCAGCTCCTCAGCCACACCACGGCCAAACGCAATACAGCTCGATGGAGTCGTACTCCATGCAGGGAAACCATCTTAAAGCCTGAAACTTGTGAAATAAAACGTTTGAGACATCCTTGAATTAAACTTTGTGCCCACGGATCTAAATAGCTACCAATAAATGATTGAAAACAGCTCTAGCGGAGATCATTGAGGAAGCGAGGGCAGGCTAGTAGAGTTCATTGAGGAAGAGAGGGCAGGCTAGCAGGGAACTTGAGGAAACCGGGAGGGGCTGTTTTGGGCTAGTTCCTCAAGTATCTTTGCTAGCTTTCGTTATCGGGCCTGGGCTTTAGAATTAGACTTGGCAAAGTTTCAATCCAGCGAGATATTTGCAAGCTGAAGCGGTGGAATCTTTGTCTCTGTCTCTCCCTCTCTCTCTCTCTCTCTCTCTCTCTCTCTCTCTCTCTCTCTCTCGCTCTCTCTCTATCTAGCCCTATATCCGCACTCAATCCATCTCAACTTTTGCAGTTTCCGGGGGGTTGGGCCAGTCTTTGTGAGGACAAATAGAGCGAACGGCATGCCAAAGCCCTATCCCCCCTCGCTAAGCACATCAAACCGATCCGCCCAATCGACCGGCCCGAGATCCTTTTGCTCTAATTTTTCTTTTGCTAACCCTTTCGTCCTCCCTTCTCCACCTCCACTTTCCATTCCACAACACACAACAGCCGGGGACCGGGGGCCCTGGGGCCCTGGGGCCCTGTGTTTTTTCTCTCGCCCAGCTTTTCCTATACCCAACGGCTGGGGGCTTGGCCTAAAGCTTTCCCCCTCTGCAGCTTACCTGGCCGCCCTTGGGATGGATTCATCGATGGCGTTTGTGCATTAAAGATACCTCAACGGTTAAATTTTTAAGACGTTTTATGCGAATTATTTACCTGTTTTATTGGTTCTATGGCATTATCGGGTGGGGGGTTGATCGGACCTTCAGCAAAAAACGCTTTAGAAACACTTCACGATTGATGTTTTGAAAAACTAAATCCTTAGAAGAAATTTGTCGCCCCCACCCCGATAATGCCAAAGTACCGTTTTATTTATTAAGTACGGTACCGAATAATGTCGAATTCAAATTTTTTTTACGTTTTTTGGGTGCATTTGAGAAAACTGGATTTAATTGCAATTTAGCGATTTCAATGATAAAATCAGATTTAAGGGCAGATTTTCCACTAAAAACAAGAATTTTGATACGATTTGTTTATTTCAACCCTAAAACCTTGAAACTATGCAAATTTTCCATTTCTCACTTCACAAATTTTGTGCTTTTGAAATGCAAACTTTACGTCCTTCGCCATAGTCAATTTCACTGTTTTGCTGCTTGAATATGTTTTCCAGCTTTAATTTTTGATGTTTCGATTTCCAAAAAAAACCCCGAGTTTCGTCGATATTGTAGCTAATTCAGATTTACTATCATTATTTTTTAATGTTTACAATTTTGATCCAGACGGCGATCGGCGATCCCCTTCTCGACGGTGGGTCCCACGGCCAGAGATGGCCAGCCGTCGACAGAGGGATTTTGATCGGAAATATTCTCAATACCGGTGAGTCGCTTTCTCAAGGAATCTCTGCTAGCCTGCCCTTCCTCAAAGAATCTCTGCTAGCCTGCCCTTCCTCAAAGAATCGCTGCTAGCCTGCCCTTGCAAAATTCACCTTCAACACCCCTTTAAAATCCCAGATAATCTCTGCAAGCCTGCCCTCCAGCTGGCCCCATCCCTCCAATAAATCCCATAAATTCTCGAACCCAAAACAACGCCATTAGACATGCCGTTTTCGCATTTTTTCCGCTCAGAGGTCCCGGAACGGCTGGGTGAACGAGCGGGCCTTCCCGTTTCGATTGATTTGTCCCGGGTCGAGAGAGGGTTTTCGGGCCTCTTGGGCGCACGTAAAAAGTGGGGCCGAGAATGTGAGGCGGAGGAAGAGCGAGGGGGAGGGGAGATCTTTCTCTCTTGCTGGTCCTTTAAACTATCCCCACCCCACAATGGCCGAGCAACAGCTTGGCCCTTGAGGAGGACGGGGTTCTGGAGGCCGAGAATGAGCTGCTAGGATTTGTGAATTGAGAACGAATTTTATAGATATGGGCGGATTAATAGAAGATTTTTATTTAATGGCATTGCAAAGCCATTTAAAAAGAAAGAGATAGAGAGAGAGAGCGAGAGAGAGACAGAGAGACAGAGAGGGATTCGCTATAGCTGAGACAGATTCCAATTCCCAGAAAATCTCGTTAGCCTCCCAGCTTGCTCCATCCTTTTAAGAGCCACCAAGAACCTCTGCTAGCCTGCCTGATCCGAAAGAATATTTGCTAGCCGACCCCTCTCAGCTGGCACTATCCCTTTAAAGCTGACGGTTTCCCGCAGCTTTCCCCAAGAAGCTCTGCTAGCCTGCCCTGTCCAGCCAGCTGAGTCAGAGAGAGAGAGAGAGGGGAGAGAGAGAGAGGGGAGGGAGAGAGAGAGCGCCAGTGAAATAAGTGTGTAACTCGTTGACCAACCCCCATTACTCTGAGCTCTCCGTCTTTTTATCTGGCGCCCCCGGGGTCCCTTGTCGTCCCGGGGCTACGACATGCTCCACCAGGGGGACGATTTCCACATTTCCGGCGGTCGAAATGGGGAAATTGTGAAGGTACCGAGAAACACGGCGAAACTGCAGAGTTCGAGATTTGAGGGATCTAAAATTTAGACGAGAGAGCGAGAGAGCGTGAGACAGAGGGAGAGAGAGAGAGGGAGAGAGAGAGAAAGTGTTATATCGTGCGTTTAACGTCCCTTTAATTCCAGCAAAACCACCCTCACCGAAGATGTAAACTACACGACCCACAGCTCGCGCTCCGCGTTCCATTCCGAGACGAGGGAGGAGCGCCAGGATGCCAGGGGAAGATCATCGAGTACCGAGATTGTTTCGGTGAGTTTCTAGCCCACTTTCTCTCGCTCGCTCGCTCTCTCTCTCTTTCTCTCTCTCTCTATCTCTCACCCACTCTCTCTTTCTCTCGCTCTTTCTACCAAACTATGACTTTCAGGGCTCTGACACCCGCACCCTACCTGTATACATCGCCGTCCAGGAGTATATTGCCGATGCGGTGGGTCCTATACCTATTTCTAAGCCTAAGCCAAAGCGTGTGCCAAGCCTATGCCAAGTCCAAGCCTGAGCTTAAGCCTAAGTCCAAGTCTAAACCCAAGCCCAAGCCACAGCCTAGTGTTGTCAGCTGAAGCCGAATTTTAGAATGACGAGGAGGCAATCAGCCTGGAGCAGGGACAAATTGTCGAGGTGCTCGACAAGCAGAACCCCGTACGCTGGCTTGTACGCACGAAGGTGAGGAAAGAGAACGAGTGCGAGAGCGAGAGAGAGAGAGAGATAGAGAGAGAGGGGGGGACCGAGAGTGAGAGAGACTACGATATACGCTAAATTCCAGGCCCGTCCACCGCAATCCGGCTGGGTACCCGGCTCCTACTTCGAGACCCCGACCGAATACTACAAACAGCGCCGCAGGACCAGGGGTACTGTAACTGGCCTGGGATACTGTAACAAGTGCAATATTTAGAAATCGAGGGCCCAGACAATGCCTCTGATGAGCAGGAAAATCTTCTGAAACGAGAGTGGGTCTTTCAAAAATTTATTTTTTTCTCATACTTGCATATGGTGAATTTTCCATTGCCATTTTGATCTATATTTTTCGAATGAATTTTTGTATGCTGGTTGCATTTTTTTCTGGCCGTTTGCCTGGAAGCTCTGTCTTTTGTTCGCTCTCACTATCTCTCTCTCCCTCTCTCTCCCTCTCTTTCTCCTCTCTTTCTATCTCTCTCTGGCTCACGCTCTCTCGCGCTTTCTCTCTCTCTCTCTCTCTCTCTCTCTCTCTCTCGCTCTCTCTCTCTCTCTCTCTTTGACATTTGAAACGCATTGGCATATTTTATTACTTAATTGACATCGAAATTCACAAAAATGAGATCGATTCCGATATTTTCCGCTTGGCTACTCGAAACGGAACGGCTCTTTTGGCTGAGAAACAAATTCCCGGTCCTTGTTCTCGGTCTCCCGTTTCCGCTCGAACTCCTCGATTCGGTCCTAAAATAATTATTTATGTCTATCTTTATGTTAATTTTGTGTTTTTGTATCTGCAATTTTTGTTCTATCTTTTCCCTTATGAGAAACACCTCAAACTCCATAAAGGAAGATTTCGTTTCGAGCTTATTCAAATAAAACACTTCTGGATGCTAATTTCTACCTTTTATTAATTTTCATCAATTTTTCAAGTGCATCTGATCTTCCTATTTCATATATTTTGCTTATATCTAACATGCTATTCCAAATCTAAAAATTTTTGCTGCCCTTGCTCTAAAATTCACGAATATTTATATGGAACCTTGTGGAAATCTTCTCTATTGCCATAATATCGAATTCTTTGATTAAAATTAAAATTAATTTTTTTGGTCCTCACCCGAATAGCCTGATCCTTGACGGCTTGCGGAATTTGGAAAGCTTCGCTAATCCGTGGCGGCAATCGGGGGTGCCGCGCCGAACGCATTTTCGAGGGGGTAATCTGAAAAAATAGCGAAATATTTTGTTAAAATCGATTGATGCTAATTGGAGTACTGTTGCTCCTTTTTTTCTTTCCTTGATTCCCTTTTTGCTCTTTTTAACTGAATTTGTTTTATACGGTATTTTTCTGCATCATTATCTCTACTTTTCATGCTAATTTTGATAAATTTTTTGATTTGTGCTTTTCTATCGAGTTTTTACAATGTTTTCAATTATTTTCGATCGACGATTTTCTTGATGCTATTGATGTTCGTGAAATTCTGGGCATTTTCCACTATCTCTCCTTCTCTCTCGCGTTCTCTATATCTTCTTTTCTCTCTCTCTCTCTCTCTCTCTCTCTCTCTCTCTATCTGTCTCACCACACTCCAGCCCTAGCTTACCTTAAATCCAGGCGGTTCCACGGGTCCCATTCCATGTCCATAGGTGATGAGCAACGGGTCGGTTCCGACATTGACAGCGCCTGAAAAATAATAACACTAATTTTACAAGCAAAAAACAAATGAATTGCGCCGGGCGGGATCGAACCCTCGACCCTTAGCATAGCAGGCTAACGCTCTACCGACTGCGCTACCTCGATACTAAGCCGTCCCTCGGTTTTAATTTTATTTTGGAAAGCTGGAATTGAATTCGTGGGTTTTTTGGAAATTTTTGAATCCGTACCATTGATCGGCATCCGGACACCGACACCTCCAGGGGCTAGCGGTACTGGGAAATCCAACCCTCCGTCGAATAGGTAATCATCACCGGGTTCAACGTCGACACCTGAAAATATTGAGCTATCGCTCTCGCTCGTCTTTCTCTCGCTCGTCTCTCTCTCTCTCTCTCTCTCTCTAACTCTCGTCATCTCCGTATTCCACCAAAAACCCACCAAATGCCAAATTGTGGACGAATGGGTTGCATAGTGGAGGTTTGCAGCGGAGCGGCACGAAATTGCCCGGCAGCACTGATACTGGGATCGAGGGGATGCCGTCTGAAATAAGGGGTACTGTATCATAACTGAGCTTGAAGTCTCTAACTCTCACTCTCTCTCGCTGTCTCTCTCTCTATCGCTCACTCTCTGTCTAGCTCACACTATCTCTTTTTCTCTCATTCTCTCTGGCTCTCTCTCTCTCCCTCACTCCGCTCTCTCTTTCTTTCTCTCTCTCTCTCTCTCTCTCTCTCTCTCTCTCTCTCTCTCTCTCTCTCTCTCTCTCTCTTTCTCTCCCTCTATCGCTTTCCGCAATTGCCTCTGCTTGACCCCCAGCCTTTTCCCCGATGAAATTTAAAAATAAACAAACTGCGGGCCCTATTGAAAGTAGGATCGGAGGCGAGTGCTGCGACAGTTTCGGGTGATATCCCGAGTACATTCGTCGGTCCGTGCAGCGTGCCAACCCCGACTCGGGTATTCGGGCGGCCCACCTTTACGCCACCTAAATAGGCTTAGATTCTGGCCTGTTAGCTAAATGGTTGAGCTCTAGCTTTTCAAGTCGGTGATCCAATTTCGACTTCCTGCCGCTGCTGAACTTTCAACGGGTTTTCTCAAGCCCACTTTTTAAAGGGTTTTTTAAGCTCCCGGGACACGTAACGCGGTTGCCGTTTTTCTGTCATAAAAATGCCGTAATCGATTGCGCTATGAAATGCGCATCTTCATTGATTTCACGGTCGTTTAAAGGGGCCGGCAAGGCAGAGTGTGGCGATTATGGGGCTAGGCCGTGTCCGCTACACGCAACGCACACATTCTGGCTTTTCAGGGCGTAATGAATTCTGGTACTTTTTGTTGACGTCAAAAACGGCATATGCGTTGCGTTTCGCATTGCGGCACGTCAAGATCAAAGCAATCCATAGCCAAAAAATCCATGGCTTGCCTTGCCGCCCCCTTTAAAGGGAATCTAGCTAACTTACTTACCCTTGTAGTCCCAGATTCCCCATCCCATGATCGGGACGTTGAGATTGCCATCCACCGTAACCCTACTTCCCGGGTTCACGTCGAGTCCCGTGTTGAATTCCGAGTGGAATGGGAAGATTGGGGTCAACGAGGAGGCATCACGGCCTGGGTGAGGCTAAAACGAGGTTTTTGTTCCTCAAAGAATCTCTGCTAGCTCACCTCTTTTATATTATCCTTCAAAAACCCTGCTTTCAAAAAGCCTTTAGCCTCGATTTTTCGTCAATAATCACTGTTTGTTTGCCTTGCCTGATTGATATCTCCCTAAGAACGTTTGCTAGCTATAATTCGGAAAAAATCTCTGTTAGCCTGCCTTGCTCAAAGAATCTCTGCTAGCCTACCCTCGATTCCTCAATGTTCCCTGCTAGCGTAGCTTCCTTAAAGAACCTCTGCTAGCCTACTCTTCCTCAAAGAAGCTCTGCCAGCCTGCCCTGCCCCGTACCTGATAAAACGGTGGTAGATTGTAGTCCTCGGTCCGTGGTTGATATAGGGATGGGCGAGGTGGGTAGGATTGGCTCTCTATTAAAAATCGATACCTAGTACGGCCTGGCAAATATCCTTTAAAGGGATGCCCAACCTTTTCGAGGCTCAAAAAGCAAAAACCATGCCGCGGGCGGGGGGTCGAACCCGAAATCACCGTTTTGTAGGCCTGGATGCTATCCATTACACCATAGTGGCAAGCCATTAAGGGGAAGGGGGACGCCACAAGAGGGACAGGTGTCCGAATTCTGTGCGGGAATGGGCGCCCATTGGCGCACAAAATTCGCGCGTCATTTGTACTTGCCGGAATACATAACTATATATTTGTCGCCAAAACCTTGGGTGTCCCTTTAAAGGGGTTGGGAGGCAGAAAATAAGAGATTCTTTGCTCGAACTTTTGTCAACACGATAAAGCATACCTGTGCCCGTCCACCATATTGCCAATATGGTTATGCCGAGGAGTTTGAGGGTCATAAAGACCCGCTGAAAGTTTCAATTGAGAGGGAGAGAGGGGAGAGAGAGGGCGAGAGAGTGAGAGCGGGAGAGGCGGAGATTGAGAATATAAAGATGCTATTATAACAATTTTGCCATCTCGAGCAACGGCTCCCAATGATAGCCCAGAATGGCACCCGCGGCTATCAACCCGAGAGCCAGTTTATCCTGCCCCCCTAGCCAAGACCGGATCTCCCGCTTTTTTGGAGCTTCACCGGGAAAATAGTGTTGCTGACCACGGCAGGCGGTATTTCTTGTTTCTCTCTCTCAGTCTCACTCTCACTCTCTCGCTCTCTCTCTCACTCTCTCTCTCTCTGTTTCACTGTCCCTCTTTCTCTCTCGTTCTCCCTCGTTCTCTCTCTCTGGCTCTCTCTCACACGCTCTCTGACACAGGCACTTTACTTCAAAATTTACATATTCCTTGATTTTTACTCGTATTTTTTGTATGGCTATCACAGATATTAAAAACGTAAATCCCGGGGAACCTATGCTCAATTTTTTTCCAGACACTAAAAATTATATATTTTTAATCCTTCCCAGCCATTAATGTGTCCTCTATTTGGATCCTCTCAAAGTCCAAAAACGAAATTTCCCGGCGAACCTATGCCCAAATTTGCATTTGAGCATCCAAGATGTTGAAATTAATGCTCATTTTTAGTTATTGAATTGTTATACATATTAAACACTTTTAGCTTTATTTAATTGAATAAATGATAACACCGTGTTTTTTCAGCCAAGTCTACCACGATCTCCTCCGATCCGAGGAGGAATTTGTTGGTGAGCTCCGGGCGGCCGTCGATCACTATGTTCGGGTGAGTAAGATTTTATAGTTCTAGGGGCAGGCTAGCAAAAATCATTGATGAAGCGAGGGCAAGCCATCAGAGATCGTTGAGGAAGCAAAGGCAGGCTAGCAGAGAAGATTGAGGAGAAGAGGGCAGGCTCGCAGAGATCAGTGAGGAACCCAGGACAGAATAGCAGAGATCTTGAGGAAAACACCTAATATTTCCAGGCTCTCGATTCGCCATCCGTACCGGAAGCCATCAGAGCCAACCGTGAGCAGTTATCGCTCAACCTGGCCGAGCTGTACAACTTCCACGCCAAGTTGGTCACTTCCACCACTCCCTCCCTCTCTCTCTCTCTCTCTCTCTCTCTCTCTCTCTCTTTCTTTCACTCTCCTCTCTCACCTCGATCCCCATTTCCAGCGTGATGCTAAAAGGTCTCCAATACTACGGCGACGATCCCGGCAAGGTCGGACAGACGTTCGTCCGTCTCGAAGGGGACTTTGATCATCATGTCCAGTTCTACAAACAACTCCCGCAGGCGCTTGACCTCCTTGAAGTCGAGCCATATGCTTCATTCTTTCAGGTATGCCGTATGTTCTATCATTAATGCGCGTTTCAGAAACTGTCCGATCGCTCCGAGGCTGGTAGCCGCTCTTTTGCCGATCATCTGGCAGCCGTGGCTGATCGGATGACGCACTATCAGAATTATTTCCGGGTTAGTACTATCTACAGTATTCTGTAGTTACCATGGCATTTACGGTACCCTATATATTCCAGGAATTCGTGAAATACTCCTCGCGACTCGGCGTCTCCACCAAGGGCATGCAGAGGGCGCTCGAACTCTGTCTCTCCGTCCCCCAGAGAGTATCAGGTATGCTAGCAGAGATTCTTTGAGAAGGGCAGGGTGGCAGAGATCCTTCAGGAGCCTTTAAAAGTCTAATTTTAGGTACACATAGGATAACGGGGGGGGGGGGAAAATAACGGGGGGCACTCAAACTTTTTATATGATAAAAGTATTTTTAAATATGCTTTTTTCGGGCTGTAAAAAAAACTCTTAGTATATTTTTCGGTCCTCTATCGAATGGCATTTTCAAAATATCAAAAATATTCAAAGCGCCGAAAAAATTTTTCCCCCCCTGTTATCCTATGTGCTGCCCATAGTTTTCAAAAATAGTTTTTAGGCTATAAAACTTTTATAATACATTTTTTCGCGTTGTAAAAAAATCTCTTAGTATATTTTTTGATGTTCTATCGATTCGCGTTTTCAAAATATCGAAAATCTCAAAAATTTGGCTTTCCCCCCGTTATCCTATGTGCTGCCCATGGATTTTGATAAATTTTTGTTTATTCGATAAAAAATTTCATTTACATTATTTCGGGCTGAAATTAATTTTCCTAGGGCAGTTTTCGACGCTTTATCGAATGACGTTTTCAAAATACCGAAAATGTCGAAAATGTCGAAAATTTGACTTTCCCCCCTGTTATCCTATGTGCTGCCCATAGATTTTCCTCAATTTTTGTTTATTCAATAAAAAATTTCTATCACATTATTTTGGGCTGAAATTAATTCTCTTAGTATATTTTTCGACGCTCTATCGAATGGCATTCGCAAAATCCCAAAGTAATTGCAAATTTCATAATAATGAGTGCCCCCGTTATTTTATTCCCCCCCGTTATCCTATGTGTACCTAATTTTAGACCTCGACTTCCTGGAGAACATCACCGGCTACCCTGGCGACCCGCTGAAGCTCGGACGAATTATACGACACGTAAGTTTTTGGGGGGTTAAAGTGACTGGCGGGCAAAGCTCAGTCTAAGCCTAAGCCTAAGCTAAACCTAAGCTAAGCCTAGCAGAGAAGCCTTAGCCGAAGCCTAAGTCTAAAGTCCTCCTAAGTCCAAAGCTTAAGCCCATGCCTAACCTTATCCGCGAGTTAAGCTGAGGCCAAGACCAAGCCTAAGGCCAAACCGAAGTCCAAGCCTAGGCCTAAGCTAAGCCTCAGAGTGGCCTTAACCTAAGCCAAACTAACTGAAGCCTAAGTCTATGCCCAAACCCTAACCTGACCCTAAGCCTAAGCCTCACTTAAGCCAAGCCTAACCCAAGCTTCTCCCTAAGCCTAGGCCTAAGCCCAAGCCAACCTTCCAGGACTCATTCCTTGTTTCCGAGGGCGACGAAACGACAACCGAGCGGCGGCACGCCTTCCTCTTCCGGAATAAGCTGATGCTCACCACGAAAATCGAAGGATCACCAACGAAATATGAGCATATCGCATCGTTGAGGGTTAGTAGTACCGTACGATACTGTAGTTACCGTATCTACCGTTTCTACCTCTTAATCTTTTAGCTCGACAAGTATACGGCCCGGAAGTACGGTGCTGATGAGGATACGATTCACTTTAAGCCCTCCGAGTTGGGGTTGCCGACATTTAGGTAAGGGATTTACAGAGATCACAGATCATTTGAGATTTTTGACACTATTTGACAAAGTTCAGGCTCAAATCGGAGGACCCAGGCGGCGAGTACGTCGTGAAGGCGTGGCTCAAGGATGTGGAGCTCGACCGCGAGGAGTACGGTAGGTCAGGGGCAAGACATCACTGGAATATCGCGAAAAGTTCAAAAAAATACAGTTTTTAAATGGACTACGGTGAGTATCAGCACGGGATACGATTTTTGGTTTTAAAGGATCCGTGAAGGCAGAAGTAGAGGGTTCAGGCTAGCAGAATCTTTGAGGTATTGCGGGCAGGTTAGCAGACATCATTGAGGAACCGGGAGCAGGCTAGCCGAGATCATTGAGGAAGTGCAGGGCATGTTAGCAGAGGTGATTGAGGAAGCATGGATAGGCTAGCAGAGATCATTCAGGAAGCTGTTTCTGCCTTCCCGGTCCCTTTAAAACTCGATCTCGCCCTTCTTTTTTCGAGAAAGTCAAGTCAGCGTGGCTATCTCTAGGCTAGAAAGGGGGCTAGCGGGTTTTATTTGCCTTCCACTTGTTCCTATTCCCTCACAGTCTCATCGCGTGGGCATATCCGACCGCTGGAGACACCCGTCCACAGGAACCGCGCGTAGGCATTCGCGCTGAAAAGGCAGAAAATGAGTAAAAAACAAACACACACAAAAATTGGTGTGTCTGTCTGGCATTAATTGGTTTAAGTTTTTGAACCAGCAGGCAGGCAGCAAAGATGCTTTGAGGAAGGGTAGGCTAGCAGAGATCCCTTGAGGAAGGGCAAGCTAGCAGAGATCCTTTGAGAAAAGGCAGGCTAGCAGAAGATCTTTGAGGAAGGGCAGGCTAGCCGAGACCATTTAGGAATTTAACTCGTTACCACCCCAATTGCTACTCTAATAACGATACAACCCCTTTCATGCCCTGCCAGAGATTTGAGGGTGCCCCCCACGGGTTGCACAAGAGCCTCTGCTCCTCCGACAGTGAATCGCCCCCGTTGCCTCTGCGTAGAGAGAGAGAGAGAGAGAGAGAGAGAGAGAGAGGGAGAGAAGGTGAGAGATAGAGAGTGAGTAGTCGTCAGTCCCGGGGTGTGGGGGCTGTGTAATGGGGGCCCTAGGACAAGCCCCGATCTCTCGCCCCGCTCCCCATCTCCAGCCAGGCCAACCAGCCTTGTGGCCCAGGCTTAGGGCCCTAGGGATGACCCCGGGTGCACTAGTGTTGTTATACACACCATTAAAGTATTTTTTAATTGGTTACGTCATTATCTACCCTGATTATCTTTTTTGCTGATTTTCGGTCCATTTCGGCCTCTCTCTCTCTCGTTCTCTCTCTCGCTCTCTCACTCTCTTTCTCGCTCTCTCTCTCTATCTCTCGTTCTCTCTCTCGCATTCTCCCAACCCTTTAAAGGGACCGGCAAGGCATCTTTGTGCCCTCTGCGCAACCTCTGAGTTCCCAGTCCCTTTAACTTTTGTATTTTCTCGTTAAAATCCATAGGCTTTGACGTACCGATTCCTTTAACGTTGGCAAAAATCATAAATAGCGGAAAAACTAAAATTAAAAATCCGAAAACTCGAAAAAAAGTTTGTTTTGGAAAATTGGAAAAAACCGATATTTTTTTTGAAAAATCGGCATTTTTAAATTTGCATTTTTGGGGTTCGCTATATGGTTCAATTCCGCATTTTTAACGTAGAATTAAAAAAATTTAGTGATATGTTCGTTATTTTTAGCAAAACATGGCAGCCAGCCCACGAGACCCAAAGCCAAGCCAATTTGCAAAACTGGGGATTCTTTTCCGAAGGTTTCCCCGCTTTTGATTGCGTGATCGATCAAGGTACTCCAAACTACGAATTTTTGCTTTTTTGCACCAGCATCTTACCGGAATGTTGCCGGCAAAGATGCCCCTTTGGCTGGGCGGTGGATCGGCAAACATTGTGAGTCAGTGACGCCTCCACCTTTTCCCGCATATCCAATCGATAATTGGGGGATAGTTAGGGGGCAAAAAAAAGTCAAAAATTAAGCCTGAGCTTAAGCCTAAGCTAAGCCTAAGCTAAGCCTAAGCCAACCCTAAGCCTAAACGAAGCGTAGCCTAAGCTTAAATTTGAACCTATGCGTAAGCCTAAGACTAAACCTAAGCATAAGCCTAAGCTAAGCTAGGCCAACGCTAAGCCCAAGCTAAGCCTGAGCTAAGCCCACGCCAAAGCCTAAGCTTAATCTAGGCCTAAGCTGAGCCTAAGTTAAGCTAAGCAGGCGGCTCCAGCTAGGCTAAGCTAGAGCCGCGTAACGTAAGCCCATTCTACGCCAGATTCTCTCTTTTTCTCTCTCTCTCTCGCGCTCTCTCTCCCTCCCTCTCTCTAGCTCGTCTCATTACGATCACTCTCTATCTCTCGCTTTCTAGTTTTTCAGGTGTTTCCTTCACATTTTCCTGGTCTCTCTCCCTCTCTCCCCTCCAATCCCCCTCCTCTAGGTATACCCGGTAGTGTGAGTGTCATCCGGGGGATGAGGTGAGCACCACCCACAACAGAGCCCGCAGAGAAACACATCCAAAAAATGGTGCTCGTCACCCTCTACATAATCGAGCTTCGCGATGCCGAAGAGGGCGGGCTCGAGCTCGTCGACCCGTCATGGTGTAAGTAGTATTGTATTGTTGTGTTTGCAGTATCGTCTCGGAGTACGACAACTCGTACCACATCAGAGGGGGATGGGCTGGTGGGCCCAGGTGGGGGCCAAGGAGGCCCATCTTCCTCTGATTGGAGATCCGAGTTTTCTGAGAGATCGAGCCCCGTTTCGAGACGATCATCGGCTGCATTTGGTAGAAATGATGTCGTTGTCCCTGTCCAAGTTGTCCGAATTGTCAATTTGTAGTTTGGAGCCTGGCGCAGTCGATGTTATAACATCGAAACTTTTCGCAAAAATGCCGACAAATTGGATTTAATCTAGGCAAACTAGCATCGATTCTTTGCGGAATTTTCAGCAAAGGCTAGCAGAGTTACTTGGCGGAGTTCAAGAGGCAGGACAGCAGAGATTTTTTGCGAAGTTTGCAGGGCAGGATAGCAGAGGTTTTTTGAGAAATTCGATGGCAAGTTTGCAGCACTTTTATGGAATTCTGGGAACAGGCTAGCAGAGATTCTTTGCGGAAATTCCAGGATGGTCTTGGCTAATTTCTTTGGGAAATTTACGCGGCATGCTAGCAGAGATTCTTTGAGGGATTCAAGGAGGCAGGCTAGCAGAGATTTTTTAAGAAATCTGCCGGGCAAGCTAGCAGAGCTCCTTTGAAGGATTTAAGAAGAAAATTTAGCATAGATTGATTGCGAAATCCAATGAAAAATTAGCAGTGATTCTTTGCCAAAATCTGGTGTGGTACATGTCGGGTGTATTTGTTAATAAGCCAAGGCATACAAAAATCAATTATGTTTTTTTCAGGCCCGGAAGAGGGTCCCCCACGGAAGAAGGTCAAGTCACCGCCGGCCATTTCCCCCACTGGCTCTTCCGCTTCCCTCTATTCCGGCGCCTCATCCAGCATCGACTGGAGTAAGTTTTTTTGGGTTAAAAAACTATAAACCGCAAACTACAACGATAGCTACAACTTACAATCTACAAACTAGTCGATATAACTACTCAGAAAAAAATGTTTTTGAACGCCTTGAACCCGCCAAATGCTTTAAACGTCGAAATTTGCATAGAGTTCATACTTTTTTTTTGTTTTTAAAGTGACTATTGTCTATACGAACTCTAAAAAAAACGTCCCGAATTGTTTATAGTAGTGTTCCGTTTTGCCCCGAACGACCTATCAAAATGTCACTTTTTATTGGAGCTCGCCGGGGGAGTCCAATGGAACATCTGGGGCAAATTTCGGCTTACTCTGTCTGTCTGTCCATGTATCGCTCTCTCTCGCTTTCTCTCTCTTTCTCTCTCTCTCTCTCTCTCTCTCTCTCTCTCTCTCTCTCGCTCTCTTACTATTGGTCTCGTTCTCTCGCTCACTAAAATTGAAAAAGAGCGTGGCAGACTAAACTGCTGAGAGAGAAAGAGATACAAAAAGCGAGAGAGAGAGAGAGGCAGAGAGAGAGCAAGCGAGTGATAATGAGAGAGTCAGGCGAGAGCGAGAGAACGTGAGAGAGAGCGAAAAGCGCGAGAATTGTAGTGCTAAAATTACATATCGTAATCCGTCCTGTCACGCTCCCTTTAAACCCGGTTCCGAACGTTTCCGGGGCATTCCATGAGTTCCATGCCTCCCAGAACGTATGTGTATTTGTGAGAGCCAGCGGTTGATGGTTGTTTCAGGGGCGTCAGTTGGTCGAAAAGAGAGAGAGAGAGAGAGAGAGAGAGAGAGAGAGAGAAGGAGAGAGAGAGAGAGAGAGAGAGAGAGTGAGAGAGAGAGAGAGAGAGAGAGCGAGAGAGAGAACCACCTCCCCATCCACCACCTACACCTCGACCCGTGGCCCGGCCAAAAATTGATTGCATTCCGGGGGTCGGAATTCAAAAAAATTTGAAGCGGAAGCGGAAAAAACCATTTTAAAGGAACATTGACAGCTAGCTAGCTTTTAAAGAGACAAAGAAAATTAAACATTTTTCAGCCACGACGGGCACAACGCTGGAGATGCAGGGTACGCGCGTGACGCGTACACAGTACGGATTCCGCACGCTGCAACAGTCGGCCGCTAAGATGTGCCTGAAAGTGACCGGGTACCCCCTCCCGGACATTACATGGTAGGCGAGCTGACAGATATTCTTTGAGGAAGGGCATGCCAGCAGAGATTCGTTGAGGAAGGGCAGGCTAGCAGAGATTCTTTGAGGAAGGGCAGGCTAGCAGAGATTCTTTGAGGAAGGGCAGGCTAGCAGAGATTCTTTGAGGAAGGGCAGGCTAGCAGAGATTCTTTGAGGATGGGCAGGCTAGCAGAGATTCGTTGAGGAAGGGCAGGCTAGCAGAGATTCTTTGAGAAAGGGCAGGCTAGCAGAGCTACTTTGCGGACATCCTGAAAAACCCGGTTTAGGTACAAAGACGACGTACTCCTTCACGAGGACGAGCGGCACACGTTCTACGCCGACGACGACGGCTTCTTCGCGATGACCATCGACCCGGTGCACGTATGTTCATCAACAGCTGGTTGAAGATGATTGTTTCAGGTCGACGACACCGGCAGGTACACATGCATGGCCACCAACGAGTACGGCCAGGCGTCCACTTCGGCCTTTTTCCGGGTCCTGAAGGTAAGCCTAAGCCTAAGCCCAAGCCTAACCTCTCTCAGGTGGAGAAGGAGGCAGCTCCCCCAGCCTTCGTCTCCTCCCTGCGGGACCAGGAGTGTAAGGAGGGCGAGACGATCGCCTTCGAATGCGAGGTAGGCGAATCTCTCCCACTCTCACTCGATCTCTCTAGCTCTCTCCCTCTCCCTCTCTCTCTCTCGTCCTCAATAAACATCTCATTCTTATAGGTGGAAGGATGGCCGGAGCCTGAACTGCTCTGGCTCGTCGATGACCAACCCCTGAGGCCATCCGCCGATTTCAAGCTCCAATATGACGGCCAGAACGCGAGGCTCGAGATCCGCGACGCGCAGCCGGACGATACTGGTATGTTCAGAGAGTGAGGGCTAGCTAGCCAAGATTTTTGGGGAATGTTTTTGGCGGGGCAGACTAGCAGAAACCCCTTGAGGATTATATTTTAGGCGTCTACTGTGTCCGGATCCAGAACGAGCATGGCAGCCAGGAGTCGAAGGCCAACCTCGCCGTCCAGGCCGACCCCGACAAGAATCACGTGCCACCAGAGTTCCAGGTAAGTCAGAGCCTAGGCCTAAGCCTAGCCTAAGATTGAGCCTCTAAGCTTAAGTCTAGCCTAAACGAATCGATACCTTTACAGGCCGTAATCGAAGACGTCGAATGCCGAGAGGGAGATGAGGTCCGATTCAAGGCCGTCTACACCGGCGACCCGAACCCAGAAATCCAATGGACGATCAATGGCATTCCGATCACGGAGAGCGAGAAGATCAGGCATGTCAATTAACGTGCTCATGCTCAAATTCATTCTCAAGGATCAGCTCATGCTCAAAATTTTCAGAATGATCTCCGAGGACGGAATTTGCATTCTGACCATCAAGGACGTTACCAGACATTTTGACGGCATTGTCACCTGCCAGGTACGCTTTAACGGGCTTTCAAGGAGGCTGCCGGTATGAAAAGCGAAAGCGTAACCTAAGCTTAACCTGAGCTTAAGCTAAGCCCTGGCCCAAGCCTAAGCCCAAGCATAAACCTATTTTAGGCAAACAATCGACTCGGCACCGCCAACTGTGACGCTCGACTTCGGGTCCGTGTTCCCCCAACACCGCCCACGTTCAGTACGCCGCTAGAGGACAAAGTAAGTCACTAGTTATTGTGTTTTTTGTGGTTTGTAGCCTGTCGTTTGTATTTTATTATTATGGCAATCTAGCAAAGACCATTAGGAAATTCCGCTCTACCTTGTCGTGAATTATGTCCATCGTCCAGTCCCGTCCATTTTCAGGCCAAGACCCTCCGCCAGACGAAGCTCAAATGGGTCAGTTGTCCCGCGCGACGTCATCTATGTTTTTTGTGGAATTGTGAATGGGACACGGTAGAATATCCAATTTTTAGATTACCCAAGAAAAATGCGTGGTCACCTTCGAAGTAGAGGTGGCCGGATTCCCCGATCCGATGATCGAGTTCAAGCTCAAGGGAAAGACGGTGGGTGCAGACGCCTAAGCCTAAGCCTAAGCCTAAGCCTAAGCCTAAGCGCGAGCCTAAACCTAAGCCTACGTCAAATTCTAAGCCTAAACCTAAGCTTCAGTCCAAGCTTAGGCCAAAGCTTAAGTCGACCCTGCGCCTACGCCTAACAAGGAGACGTTTTTTGGTGTGAATGGAGTTCTGAGTGGAAACCAGGCCTATTTTGTGCAGAATTTTGCGCTGATTCCGAATATGTTTTCCATTTTGCTAAATAGCTCGATTTCAAAAGTTATAGCAATTTTAAGATCATTTTAGCCCAAATTTTCCTCTCTTTAGGGACCATTATGCTGCTTTTCCCGGATGTTTTTCCAAAAAAAAAATATCGTCACCGTATTCAGAAAAATTTTCTCTATAGAATGAGCTATTTAACTCAAAATTGTTGAAAATCGAAAAAATCGACGATACTTGGTATGGGCTGCGATTTTTGTATGGGAAATGGTGAAAAACAACCTATTTCTCACCCCCGTAGGCCATCGTCGATCGGCAGTAGCGCACTAATCAAATATACCATTCGAATCAGAAAAAAATTCTCTACAAGATAGGCTACTTAAACAAAATTAAAACGTTATAAGAAAAAAGTAGCACAGCATAGCATAGGGCTACTCTGGGCCAAAAAATTATCTTAAAATAGCTGTAACTTTTTAAATCGAGCTATTTAGCAAAATTGGAAAACAGCATCGGAATCAGCGCAAAATTCTGCACAAAATAGGCCTGGTTTCCACGCAGAACTCCATTCACACCAAAAAACGTCTCCTTGTAAGCCTAATCCTGAGCCCAAGCCTAAGCTCCAGGGCAAGCCTTAGCCCAAGCCTAAGCCTGAGCCGAAGCTTAAGCCGGAGCCTGAGGCTAAGCCTAAGCCTAACAAGGGAACCACCCGAGGTCGAGGTGGCGTTTCGTTATGGGACCCAGCCCATTTTGTGCAGAATTTTTCGCTGATTCCGAATCCGCTGCTCATTTTTGCCAAATAGCTCGTTTTAAAAAGTTATGGCGCTTCAAAGTGCCATTTTTGCCCAAATTTGTCAACTTCAAAGCCATTTATTTTGCGTTTCCCTGCTGATTCATCAAAAACGAATATCGCCAACATATTCAGAAAATTTTTCTCTATCGAATGAGCTATTTAACTAAAAATTGTTGGAAATCGAAAAAATCGACGATACTTGGTATGGACTTCGTTTTTTGTATGGGACATGGTGAAAAACAGGCTATTTCACACTCCCATAAGTGATCGTCGATAGGCAGTAGCGCAGTAATCAAATATACCATTCGAATCAGAAAAAAATTCTCTACACGATAGGCTATTTACAATGGATTGGCATATTAAAACAAAAAATTTGGGCATCGTGACAGATGACCGTCCGCGGGCTCAAATATAATCTTAAAATTGCCGTAACTTTTTAAATCGGGCTATTTGGCAAAAATTGAAAGCGGGTTCGGAATCAGCAAAAAATTCTGCACAAAATGGGCTGGGTCCCATAACGAAACGCCACCTCGACCTTAGGTGGTTCCCTTGTAAGTCCAACCCAAGCCATGCCCAAGCCAAGCGTAAGCCTAACTGTAAAGTGTTTTTACTCAACTTGGAGTTTCGATTCGGGACCAAGCGCAGCTTGTGCAGAATTTTTCGCTGATTCCGAATATGTTTTCCAAATTTGCTACGGACTTTTATTTAAAAAATCATTTTTGGTAACAATTAGGCCAAAAAATGCCAAAAATTCAGACGCTGGCCCACTATTCCTTGTTTGGGGCTATGTTTCCCAGGGGCCCTGAAGTACCCTCTGACAGCACCCTACCCAGTTGGCACGATGGTGGATTGGCAAAGTACTCGCTTGCCAAGCGCAGGGCGGCGGTTCGAACCCCCGCCCTGCATCATTTCTTTTGCTTTTTGCATAAAAATCTCATTTTTTATCTAAAATGCTTGTTTTGAGCTGTAGGATACTTGTCGAGCCAACGTCTAGTCAATTTTGACGTTGAAATTAATGAATAAAATCGAAAACTATAACGATACCTTCATTTTGGTGAAAACTAGGGTCATAATTGCCCTATAACTTTCAGAATAACGGTCCGTAGCAAATTTGGAAAACAGATTCGGAATCAGCGAAAAATTCTGTACAAGATGCACTTGGTCCCGAATCGAAACTCCAAGTTGAGTAAAAACACTTTACAGTAACAAGGAGAAGGTCTCAGCTGGGAATCGAATTCGGATTTGAAAATTTGCACACTTATAGAGCTCGATGAGACAAATCGATTCGGGTAACTTTCAGCTGCTGATACGATAACCACGCCGAGTTATAAGCATTTTAAGTTTTTGCATACATTTTGCATTTTTTCGGCCATAGCTTCATAGGCCTTCCCCGCCTCCCCATCACCATGGTCTGGTGGCCTAGTGGTGTAGCAGGCGGCCTCCGGGGAATCTAACGAGGGTTCGAACCCGCTCACGATTTTTATTTTTTGCTTTTTAGTCCGAAGGTTCCTTTTTGCTTTCTGAGGACCTTGTATAACTTTTTACGCATTATTTTAACTCCTCTGGTGCGAAATTGCTAAAAAACATCTCTTCGAAAAAATTTAGATTTTTTTACCCGAAAGGACTATGCCGGCCCCAAAATAAATTGAAAATTCAAAGCATATCAAAAATCGTGGAGTAAACGAAAATTTGGTAAATGGTGTGTTATCCGAACAAAAACTTTCATCGGCGAAAATTTTTTGGAAATGGTAGTCATAGGTCGGACAAGGGCTCGATGCTCAGCAAGAAAAATTTTTGCGGTGAAGTTCGATGTTGTCGGCGCATCAGTGGAGAAAAAATAATGCGTAAAAAGCTATGCAAGGTCCTCAGAAAGCAAAGAGGAACCTTCGGACAAAAAAGCAAAAAATAAAAATCGTGAGCGGGTTCGAACCCTGGTTAGATTCCCCGGAGGCCGCCTGCTACACCACTAGGCCACCAGACCATGGTGATGGGGAGGCGGGGAAGGCCTATGAAGCCATGGCCGAAAAAATGCAAAATGTATGCAAAAACTTAAAATGCTTATAACTCGGCGTGGATAACGTATCAGCAGCTGAAAGTTACACCAATCGATTTGTCTCGTTGAGCTCTATAAGTGTGCAAATTTTCAAATCCGAATTCGATTCCCAGCTGAGACCATCTCCTTGTAAGCCTAATCCTAAACCTTTCCAGCTCCGCCACGGCGAGAACGGCGTGGAAATCGTGGGAGGTGATGGCTGCTACAGGCTCACCATCGCCAACTGCTCCATGGATGAGCACGACGGGGAGCTGGTGTGTACGGTAGGTCGCCAGGATGGTAGTTGATCAATTCTATAGGCTCGAAACGAGCACGGACAAGCCGAATCTCGTTGCCGCCTTTCCGTGGAGCCGCAGGAGGACGACTCGGTGTCGGCTCCGACTTTCTTGAAGGACATCGAGGATCAGGTGCGTTGAACTGCTTGAACATGATGTCGAAAATCAACGTTGCAAAACACCTGTAGACGATGAAAACTGCGAAAATCCTTAAAAATCCATAGCCAAAAATCCATAGTCATGCCTTGCCGGGCCCTTTAAAGCCGCAAAAATCCAAAATTCCCCAAAAATCAATGCCATCGCCCGTAACCTGACCTCTGATCCCATGTCAGCTGATAGCTAGCCTGAACTTGTCGAGCGCCCGGGGCCACACTTAGCTCACCTTAACCTCATGCCCCCCAAGCTCAAGCTCCGGCTCCTCCTCCCCTCATGTTTGCGTTGGCGGAGGGACAGTTGTTGCTCTCTGCCCAATCCTCCTCCTCCCCTATTGCCTCAAGGGCCCACCCAGCCGTTTTTCCACCTTTTAGCCGATGGATCCCCACAACATGGGGCTCCTTCCCGGCTGGGACCTTTGACACCGGGCGGCCCCCCTGCTATTCCACCCGCTTTTTATCGATTTCCACACCTAGTGGAGGGTGATAGATTAAATTGAAATTTTTGAGGGTTGATTAGTTACATTTTCTTGGCTAGCTAGAGCCGCTCCTCTCCGCGCGCTCCTTTTCTTGCTCTTTTAGCTCATTCTCCCCTCCCTCTACCGCTTTGGCGACCTTTGGTGCTCACAGATTGCCGGATAGTTCTTCCCCAATGATCTTTGCTAACTAGTATAATCATAAAAATTCCCGACCCGACAGCCAAAACACCGGCAGTCGAAATCCCGACATCCAAAATCCCGACAATCAAAATCCCGACAACCAAAACCCCGACGGCAATCGGATCGGAATGTTGAAACCAAATAATTGGCATTCAGACTAGCATCAAAAATATTTTGGCATTTTCGATGGCGGTATTTCCGCTGTCGGCATTTAGGCCAGTCAGAATTTTGGGGCTCCGGATTTTTCCCTGTCGGCATTTTCGCCTGTTGGGATTTTCTGCCTCCTGAGTTTGCCTACCGGAAGTCTGGGGGTCAGGATTTTCGCTGTCGGGATTTTGGCAGGCCGGCTTATCGGCGGTCACAATTTTGACTTCTCGGTATTTGGTCCTATCGGGCTGTTCGCTGTCGGTATTTCGGCCCCTAGAAATTTGCCTGCCGGCATTTTCTATCTCCCTCCTTTCATTTTGGATCTCGGAATTTTGGCCGATCGGGATTTTTGCCTGCCAGGATTTTGACTGTCGGTATTTTCGCTAGAATTCCACCAAAATTTTACAAATGTCGAAAATCATCCTCCACTTTCAGACCGTCAAAGAGGGCCAAGAGGCCATCTTCGAGACCACCGTCCGCGGGAACCCCAACCCGGAAGTTTCATGGTATATCAACGGCCATAAGGTATCTGAAGCCCCCAGATATCTCAAGATCTCCCCCTTCAGATGGACGGCTCGACACCGGGCGTGAAGATCAACGTCAGCGGCCAGGACCACAAGATCATCATCGACAGCGCGAGCTATGCTGGAACGATCTTGTGCAGGGCCGAGAACTCGATCGGCCGCTTCGAGACCAAGGCGAAACTTGTCGTGCTGCCGGTGGAGAAGCCGAAGAAGGCACCAGTGTTCAGACAAGGACTCGTAGATGAGACTGTCGTTGAGGGGGCATCTGTTGTTTTTGAAGTTGCTGTCGATGGAGAGCCGAAGCCGACTCTTGCTTTTACGCTGAATGGAAAGGCACTACAGGAGGGACAGGTAGGGGTTGGGTGATGCGCTATTTTTGCTATATCTCGAAGTAGGAGCATCGGATTTTAATGAGTTTTAAAGCAACCGAAAGCTCTTAAAAGTATTAGTAGAATAATAGTATTGAAATTGGTTTTTAGCATAATTTACAGGAATTTTCATTTTAACTTTACCGAAAACTTTACTTTTCCGCCCTCATTTTAAAGCGTTTGAATACCAATAAAATTATCTAAATCGATAAAACTAAAAACGCAGTTTTTGTAGTCGACTTTTCAAGGGCATTCGAATGCTATAAAAATCATGCCAATCCGATACCCCTTCTTCGAAAGATGGCGTTTTTTAAGCGATCGAGAAGAGGTGTAAGCCTAAGCCTAAGTTTAAGCCTAAGCCTAAGCCTAAGCCTAAGCTTAAGCCTACGCCTAAGCCTAAGCTAGCCCTCATCTACACAAAAACTTACATCTTTTCAGAATGTCCGTCTCCGCGAGTTCGACGGTCAATGGAAACTCGAGCTCCTGAACATCAAGCTAGAAGAGGCCGGTGAGCTCGTCGCTACCGCCACCAACTCCCAGGGCCAAGCCACCTCCACATCACGGCTCAACGTCGGCAGGTACCCGAGAATCGGTAGTTGAACAAACCAAATTTAATTTGCAGGAAGCCGTTCGCCCCCAGATTCAGCCAGACACCCAAGAGTCTGACTGTCACTGAAGGGGAAGAGGCTGTATTTACGGCAAAGGCTGATGGCCAGCCACTTCCCACGTATCTTTGGAGTGTTGATGGGCGGAAGGTAACGGAATTATCGCTAAACGAGGGATACTTGGGCTGTTAGTGGGGGGTGATATTTTTAGAAGAGGAGAAGCTTGCTTTTTTTACCTGTTAATAATATATTATGTCGTTTTATAGTGTTTTTTGTAGTTTTTTATTGCTGAAAAGCTATAAAAAGGTTAAAATTTTTTTACCGATTTTGTATTAAAAAAATACAAGAAATCAATTTTCGACCAAAAATAGACTTTTTAAATTGAATTTCAGAAAAGAAAAATCCTTTGACGAGAATTTCGACTTTTGAAAATCTTTGAAACTTTTAGATAGTTTTTCTAACTGCGATATAGTTATATTTTACTCAAAACATTATGAAAATACTTCCTATTAACTTACTCAATATTTCTAGGTTTATACAAAATTTCGGAACTTCCTCCCCCCCGATAATGCAAAAGAACCAAAAATCCTAATTTAACTTTTTAGGTTCGCGAAAGCGGCTGGGAAGGTGTACGCGTCGAAACTGTCGACGGCGTCTCCACCCTGCGCATCGACACCAAGCAGCACACCTTCAGCTCCACGATCTCGGTGTTGGCCGAGAATTCGGTCGGGAATGATGAGAGTGGAGCTCGATTGGTTGTCGAGAAGAAGGTGATTAGCATCTCTCTCTCTCTTTCTCCTTCTATCTCTTTCTCTCTCTTTCTCTCTCGCTCTCTCTCTCGCTCTCTCTCGTCAAAAAAACCCTTTTATACACCGTTTGTCGCGCTTTAACCTCACCAGCTACCACTAAATGCTTCACGAGCACCACCTCTGTATTCTGGAGCACCATGTCGTGTAGGTTGATGCTCACACGATCACCCAGCACGAGGAGAAGCGCCTGGAGACGACAACCACCATTAAGGTCACACAGGTTCGAGCTAAATTTCCAGTTTGATGTAGCTAGAATAAGCTCAGTTTTTGGTATCTTGAGGCACTTCTAGGAAAAACACGGTTTCAGCTATATCTCGACGTAGGAACATCGGATTGGAATGATTTTTCTAGCATTCGAAAGCTAGCTAAAAGTCGAACAAATTAACGTATTTAAAGCGTAGATTTATTACTGAATCTAGGAACGTTTTTCCAACAAAAAGCGTGTTCTAATTTCAATGGTGATTTTTCATGGATATGGTTTTGGCGAAATCCGACCATTCGCAAATCTGATTTTTTGGCATTTTGCCAGTTTAAAAAGCTGACGTTTCTTGGGAAAAAGGAATTTTCGCAAAAAAATGGTGGCGTAAATGGCGATTTTTAACAATTTAGCGAATAACTAAGTTTTTCTAGTTGTTTAGCGTGAATAAGAAACTAAGAGATTTTTTCGAAAATATGAAAATACAATCATTATGTTCCGCTTTTTAAGAGCTTTCGATTGTTATAACAATCATCTTGATCCGATATTCCTACGTCGAGATAGCCAGAAGTTTATACCGCACCAATGCACCTAACCTATCACCCAGAGTGTCATCATTTCCAGAGCCCTATCACCGAGACGACGACCGAAACTCGGACCACCTTCGACAGTGAGGGGAGAGAGACGGGCCGGGAAACGAGTGTACGTACCGAACTCGTCGGGCAGGAGACGTCGCACATCTCCACGAAGACGACTACGGAGCACGAGGCGTCCGACAGCGCTACACGGCTCAGCCAGCAGGCTGTGAGTCCGCATGCAACACTTGCACTATAATCTATTCTCTTTCTTGAGTCTTTACGTTGTGGTAGTGTTTCGTAGCGTAGCGTAGCGTAGAATGTTTAATAATGTTCATCTTAGAATACGTCGAATAGGTGCCAAATAAGCTTAAGCCTGAGCCTAAGCCTATCCTAAGCCTCAGGTTAAGCCGTAATCTAAGCCTATGTCTAAGTCTAAGCCTAAGCCTAAGCTAACTTTGAGCTAAGCCTAAGCCCAGACATAAGCCGAAGCAGAAGCTTAAGCCCAAGCCTATGCCTAAACTTAAGTCTAACAAGGAGACGTTTTTGAGTGTCGTCGGGACATTGGCACGGGACCAAGCCTATCTTGTGCAGAATTTTACGCTGATTCCGAATATGGTAACCGTTTTTGCGGAATAGCCATTTCTCGAAAGTTATGAACGATCTAAACCTCAAAACAGCCCAAAATTGGCTACTTTCAATAGTCATAAAAGGCTTCAAAATAGGTTTTAGACAAAACCAGATAGTGCATCTTGTTCAGAAAAAAATTCTCTATAAAATGTACCATCTTTTCCAAAATCATTGAAAAGTTGGAAAAATTTGATAAATTGGGAGGTGCATAATTTTACAAAAATTGTCAAAATTCCAGCATTTTTTAGTTAAGTAGCTTAATTTACAGAGAGTTTTTTACTGAACAAGATGTACTATCAAGTTTTGTCTAAAACCTATTCCGAAGCCTTTTATGACTATTGAAAGTAGCCGATTTTGGGCTGTTTTGAGGTTTAAATCGTTCATAACTTTCGAGAAATGGCTATTCCGCAAAAACGGTTACCATATTCGGAAACAGCGTAAAATTCTGCACAAGATAGGCTTGGTCCCGTGCCAAAGTCCCGACGACACTCAAAAACGTCTCCTTGTAAGCCTTAAGGGAATCGAAGCCTAAGCATAAGCCTACGCCGATCGTAATCTCGATCTCCCTGTCCGTGTCCATGTCCTCCTTCACGTCGTCGTCCTTTTTAGGATGGTTCCGGTCCATACCCGCCGCCACCCAGCGATGGACATCAAACTACACGCCAAACAGAGATCCGAGTCGAAAATTATGAAGAGACCACCACCACCACCAGCGAGCAGACCGAAGAAACGACCGAGACCTCATCGACCACCACCACCATCTCCAAGCCCAAAAAGAAGAAGCTCAACGGGGTCAAGAAGGCCAACGGCAGCTCCGATTTGGAAGCCTCGAGCCGGGAAGCCAGCTTCGATCGCCAGCTCTCCACCACCTCTTCGGGTTCTTCGATCCGTTCCGCCTTGGCCAAGTCGCCGTCGCAGAACGGTAGTCGCAAGAATGTCCGCTTTGTGAGTGTTCTTTGTATTGGTTCCATGTCGTTCGTTCTGTCTCTAGCGTCCTCGTACTTGTTGAACTTGACTGGCCAAAATCCGTAAAATCCCCTTCCGAGCCATAGAAACTAAATTCCGTTCCATCTTTGGGAATTCAGCTTTTACACAACTCCTTTAGGCCGATGCTCCACGCGTCACGCGTGCGTTGCGGCCGCAGAACGTCGGCAAGGGTGACCTCGCCCATTATGAGGCTGTTATCGAGAATGCCGCTTCGGTCACGTGGACCCATAATGGACAGCCGCTGACGAATGGAGCACCAGGTAAGCGAAAGCCAAGCCTAAGCCTAAGCTTAAACCTAAACCTAAGCCTAGGCCTAAGCCGCATTCGAAGCAGAAGCCGAAGCCTAAACCTAACCAATTCCTAAGCATCACTCTATGCCTAAGCCTCAGCTAAGCCTAGGTCTATGACTATGACTAAGCCTAGGTCAAGCCTAAGCCAAGCCTAAGCCAAGCCTAAGCCGCAGCCTAAACCCAAGCCTAAGCCTAATACAATTCAATCGCTCCTTTCCAGGTGTCAAAATCTCGCAAGACGACAAATTCGAGTTCCGGCTGTCGCTGGACACAGCCATCTTCGGGTCCGGAACGGTCCAAGTCGTCGGCCAGAACCCGGGCGGACAAGCCGAATCCGCGGCCGATCTTGGCGTCACCGAACCCCCAAAGGAGACGAAGAAGCCCGAGTTCACCGACAAGCTCACCGACATTGCCGTCACGCGTGGGCAGCCCTTCCAGGTGGACGTCATCGCGCTGAATGGCCCCGAGTTCAAGTGGACCCTGAATGGGACGCCGATGCAGGTTCGTGGTTCATAAAGCGTTAGAACGTCTTTTTAAAGCGTAGCTAGTTCTAGATGCCACAAAAGCTCTTGAAAAGACAAAAACACAGCGTTATAAATTTCAACACTTCCGGAAATTGTCAAAAACGGATAGTTTTCCTAATTTAATTCGAGGTAGTTGTATCTGATTGGAATGATTTTTATACCATTCGAAAGCTCTTGAAAAGGCAAACAAATTAGAATCCTTAAATATATGCTTTAGTTAATTAAGGGCAAGAAAAATCATGAAAATAAAAACTCGCACGGCGTATAGCTATAGTAAAACATTAAAAGTCTGTTAAAATTTCAGCAATACAAACTCGCGTCCTACAACTCGATAGATCTCACCAAGAGCTTTTGATTGGTGTAAAAACCATTACGTTTCGATACTCCTACGTCGAGTTAGCGTTGAAAGCGTACCAGCCTGCTACGATGCGCCGGCCGTTCTATTGCGTAAACAATTAATGTACAAATTTTTAGGACGGCAAAAACGGCGTCCACATTGCCCAGGATGGCAACAAGGGCACGCTGAAGGTCGATGCCGCTGATGATAGCCATCGCGGCACCGTCACCGTACAAGCCAGCAATGAAGTCGGAACTGCCGAGAGTTCCGCGACAATCCAGGTGCCCAAAAATCAAATTTTTACCCTCATTTCAGGTGAATGAGCCGGCCAAGGCCCCGCAGATCAGCGACGGCCCCTACAGCACCACCGTCAAGGAGCACGAGCAGGCCAAGTTCAGCGTCACCATCACCGGCACCCCGGCCCCAACTGTCAAGTGGTTGTTGAACGAGCAGGTCATCGAACAGACATCCACGATCACGACCACGAGCTCCGGGACCGAGTATTCCCTGACCTTCTCGGACTCGCAGCTCTCACACTCGGGCTCCATCAAGGTGACCGCGCAGAATTCTGCCGGCATGGACGAGAAGCAAGCGTCCCTGACGGTGCAGCAAGGATTCAGCAAGCCCACTATCACCTCCAAATTGAACGACACTTCCGCAGAAGAGGATTCCCCCGTCCGCTTCGAGGTTCAACTGGATAAGCCGCAGCCTGGCACCTCAGTCAAGTGGTACCTTAACGGAAATGAGCTGAAGAACGATGGACCGGTGCAGATTGTCGATCACGGCGATGGCACCTACCATCTAACCCTGGCCCAACCTAAACCGGATATGACCGGAAAGCTGACCGTAAAGGTCGAAAACCCGGCCGGAAGCGATGAACAATCAGCCCAACTGACAGTTGGTGGCAGCAAGAAGAAGCCGGTCTTTGAAAAATCCCCTCAGAACCACGATGCCTTTGTTGACGACGAGAGCGTCAAGTTCTCGGCCATTGTCCATGGTACACCGACCCCAACGGTGACCTGGTCCCTCAACGGCCAGAAGCTGGTTAATGGAGATGATGTCAAGGTCAAGCATGAACCGGAGACCGGCAAGACTTCCATCCGCATCTTCAAGCCGCAGTTGAACCATACTGGAACTGTGCAAGTCAAGGCTGAAAATGAGGCCGGAAGTGTGGAGGCCACTGCGCAACTCAAGGTCGAGAAGAAGCCAGAGATGCCCCGCTTCACGACCAATATGGACGACAGACAAGTGAATGAGGGAGAAACGATCAAGTATTCCACTACTGTCGAAGGGTTCCCAGAACCGAGTGTGGAATGGACCCTCAACGGAAAACCCGTCTCTCAGTTCCCGAATATCAAGACGACCAGTGACGGCAATAAGCATAATATTGAAATCGCCGAGATCCCGACCGATCAGTCGGGAGAGTTGTCTTGCAGCGCGACCAACTCGGCTGGACACAAGAAACAGTCCTGCCAACTTCAGGTCAAACTCACTGGAGATGCCCCTACTTTTGGACAACAACTAGAAGAACGATTGGTTGTTGAGGGAGAGTTGGTGTTGATGGGCTGTAGAGTCAACGACGTCAAGCCGAAGCCGAAAATCACTTGGTACCGCGATGGAAAGGAAATCCCCCAGGGAGACTCACACTTCAAGCTCATCGAGAACCCCGACGGTACCCACCAGCTTCGCATCGTTGAGGCGAAACTGGAAGATAAGGGAAGGATCACGGTCAAGGCCGAGAATACCTTCGGAGCTTCGGAAACTTCTGCATCTCTCGGTGTGACCAAAAAACGCCCAATGGCCAAGCCCGCCTTCCAGTCGGATATCCCGCCAACAACTGTGATGGAGGGAGAATCCCTGCGTGTCAATGTCCTCATCACCGGCGACCCGACCCCCTTCGTCAAGTGGTATATCAACGGGCAAATGGTGTGTGAGACGCCGGATACGGAATTGAGCTCCGCGAATGGTGTATATACCATGGTGATCCATGGCTGCACGACAGACATGACCGGCAAGATCAAGTGCGTCGCGTACAACAAGGCCGGTGAGGTGCAGACTGAGGGCCCGTTGAAGGTCATCACCCCGGTTCCCGTCGAGTTCGAGACGTCCCTCTGCGACGCGACCTGTCGTGAGGGAGACACTCTTAAACTCAAAGCTGTTCTTTTGGGAGAACCTACACCTGTCGTAACTTGGTATATCAATGGCAAGAAACTTGAGGAAAGCCAAAACATCAAGATCCACGCCGAGAAAGGCACCTACACCGTCACGATCAAGGACATCACATGTGACTACAGTGGAAAGGTCGTCTGCGAGGCGATCAACGAGTACGGCAAGGCCTCCTCGGAGGCTATGCTGCTCGTACTCCCCCGAGGTGAACCCCCAGATTTCCTGGAGTGGCTCTCGAATGTCAAGGCGCGCCAGGGAAGCAAAATCGTGCACCATGTCGTCTTCACCGGAGACCCGAAACCGGAACTGACTTGGTATATCAACAACAAGAAGGCCGTCAACGGGACCGAGTTCGAGATTGTCACCACAGATACCACCTCGACGTTGACGATCAATGACTTCAATCCGGACAAGCATGTTGGAGAGATCATCTGCAAGGCGGAGAACGACGCCGGAGAGGTGTCGTGCACAGCCAATATGCATACGTACACCTCGGAGATGTTCTCGGAGTCCGACTCGGATGTGGTCGGAAGGGACGACCTGGGAGGGACGGATGAGGAGAGCCTCACCGAGGAGATCATCCGGCGCACCCCGACCCCAATTGCCGCACCCAAGTTCATCGAGAGAATCCAGGACACCAAGGCGAAGAAGGGGCACAAGGCAGTCTTCGAGTGCGTCGTCCCGGATACGAAGGGTGTTGTGTGCAAGTGGTTGAAGGATGGAAAGGAGCTCGAGCTCATCGCCAGGATCCATGTGAGGACGAGGACCATTGAGGGCTTCACCACGCATGAGCTGGAGATTGAGGATGTGCAGCCGGAGGATGCTGGAAAGTAGGGGATAAACATTTGCAAGAAGTTTCTTCTTTTTAGATACACCTGCATCGTCGAGAACCCGCAGGGATTGGATAAATGTGATGCCAACTTGCAAGTGCTTGGTGAGTTTTAGAAAAGCCCAAGCTTTAGCCTAACCCTAGGGCTTGAATCATAAGCTAACCAAAGCCAAGCCCAAGCCAAGCCCAAGCCAAGCCCAAGCCAAGCCTAAGCCAAGCCTAAGCCAAGTCTAAACTAAGCCGAAGCTGAGCGAAGCTAAGCTTAAGTTAACACGAAGCTAAACCTAATCCTAGGTCCAAGCCTCAACCTAGCATAAGCTTAAGCGCAAGCCTAAGCCTAGGAGTACGCCTAAACCTAAGCCTAGGCCTAAGCCCATCCTCCTCCCCAACCTCATACCCTAAAAATTTCAGAAGTTCTCGAGAAAGCCCCACCAAACCCCCAGAGTTCATCGTCAAGCTCCAAGACAAAACTGTCGGCGTCACCGACAAGGTCGCCTTCGAGTGCAAGGTCACCGGCGACCCGATGCCAAAGTGCACATGGTACCACGGAGAGGTAAGTGGCAACCAAGACTCAGATGACGATATTTTTAGCAAATCTTGCGCTCGGAGACGAACAAGGTGACGATCACCTCGGAGGATGGGGTCCAGCGGCTTGTCATTGAGCACTGCGAGACCAGCCATGCCGGCAAGGTCACGTGTGTGGCTGAGAATGAAGCGGGTACCAGCAAGACGACAGCGCAGTTGATCATCGAATGTAAGTTAAGAAATTTGGGACTTACGCGCTTTCTGAAACGAAAAATTCTCTATCTCGTGGTCAAGGTAACGGAGAATAATTTTTAAAGTGTTGGCAATCTCTTGAAAAGTCAATAAAGCTAATTATATTGATTTGAGAAATTGTAATATTCTTGAAAGTCTTTTAGACTTGTTGTATCCGATTTGAGCGTATATAAATTTTTAAACTAGTTCAAAACTAGCAAGAAAATACCACCATTTTATGCGCCTTTTCAAGAGATTTCGATTGCTATAAAAATTATTCCAATCCGATACGACTACTTCGAGATACCCCAAAAATTAACGTGTATCAAAAACGATCACAGTTTCTTTTAACGATCTTCCCCAGATCCACCCCTTTAATACACGCTTAACCCCTTCCCCCTACTTTCAGCATCCGCCCCCGTCTTCACGAAGTCGCTCGAAGATCGATTCGTGACAATCGGAGAAACTGTTGCCCTGGCCTGCTCTGTCCGCGGCCTCCCCCCAACCCACCGTCGAGTTCTACCGCGAGACCCAAAAGATCGTCTCCAGCGAGCGCATCAAGGTCGAGCACGACGCCGCCAACACCAACTGGCGCCTCCTCATCACGGAGTGCACCCAAGAAGACCTTGTCCGCTACCGTGCCGTCGCCACAAACTCGGCAGGTTCAGCGAAAACGGAAGCTTTGGTGCAACTGAAGATCGATGCGCCAAAGATTGAGGACGGGCTCAAGGACCGGAAGGTCAAGGAGAAGGATACTATCGAAATGGAGGCCAAGGTTTCCGGAACGATCCCCGAAATCAAGTGGTTCAAGGATGGACAGCCCCTACGTCCGGATGGAAATCGTGTGATTGCGCAGGACTGCGGAAACGGCGTCTACAAACTCATTATCAAAGACGCACAGCGCAGCGATGCCGGTCAGTACAAGATTCAGGTGTCGAACCCGGCCGGCAAGGTCGATTCGTCTGCTTGGGCTGAGGTGGCCTCATTTTATGAACCGGCCCAATGGACGCAGCCACTCTCCGACACGCAAGTACTCGAGAAGCAGTGCGTGACGTTGAGCGCTGCAGTCACGGGAATACCATCCCCGTCTGTGGAATGGCTCAAGGATGGTCAGCCCGTGAAGGCAGACGGCTTCCACGTGACGATCAAGGAGAGTCAGGAGGGAGTTCACTCAATCACGATCGATGAGGCTCGAGCAGAGGATGAGGGCCGATACTCCGCTATCGCTAAGAATACGATTGGCGAGGCAACTACCGCAGCCAACTTTGCGGTTATTCGCGATTACGTACCTCCAGAGTTCATCGAAAAGTTGAGGAACATTGAGGTGAAGGAGAAGGAAAACGCTACCTACACTGTGGTCGTGAAAGGAGACCCGAAACCGACTGTAGAATGGCTCAAAGATGGCCAACCCGTACAACTTGATGGCCAGCATCTCGTGGCTAAGGATGAGGGCAACGGCAAGTTCTCGTTGACCATCACCGATGCACGACTTTCTGACGTTGGTTCTTACACGGCTCGCGCGAAGAGCGTCGCTGGACATGCGGAAAGCACTGCCAAGTTTGCCGTCATCAAGACGCTCAGCGCCCCCGAATTTGTCGAGCCGCTGAAGAACCTCGAGGTCAAGGAGAAGGACACCGCCACGTATACCACAGTCGTCAAGGGCGAGCCTGAACCTAAGGTTTCTTGGCTGAAGGACGGGCAACCTGTCCAGGTCGATGGCCAGCACGTTGCCGCCAAGGATGAGGGCAACGGCAAGTTCTCGCTAACCATCTCTGATGCTCGCCAATCCGACGTCGGCAACTACACCTGCCAAGCCAAGAACGAGGCCGGACAAGCTGAGACCAGCGCCAAGTTTGCGATCGTCAAGTCTCTGCAAGGACCTGTGTTCACGGAAGGGCTGAAGCCGGTTGAAGTGAAGGAACAGGAAACTGCAACTCTGTCCGTGACCGTTCAAGGAGAGCCCGCACCTACAGTAGCGTGGCTCAAAGACGGACAACCAGTGCAAATCGACAACCAGCACGTACTGGCTCGAGACGGAGGCAACGGCCACTTTGAATTGGTCATCAAGGACGCGCGACAATCTGATATTGGCCGCTACACCTGCAAGGCCACAAACCCTGCAGGACAAGCCGAGACTCAAGGAAATGTCGCTGTCATCGAAGATGTGCAGGCCCCTCGTTTCACGGACGGCCTGAAAGGACTGGAAGTTGAGGAAGGAAAACCTGCACAGCTCGACGTCACCGTCATCGGAAAACCCGAGCCCCAAGTGGAGTGGTTCAAGGACGGACAACCGGTGCTCATCGACAACCAGCACGTGGTTTCCAAGAAGGACGAACAAGGCCACCACTCCCTGGTTATCCGGGACGTGGCCAAGGCTGATCTCGGAACGTACACCTGCCAAGCTACAAATAAGGCCGGAAAGGCCGAGACGCTTGGAGAGATCAAGGTGCCGAAGTACGGCTTCGAAAAAGTTGGCGGCGAGCATGTCGAGCCAATGTTCATCGAGCCACTTCGTGAGCATCTAGCCAAGGAGGGCGACAACGTCGTCCTTGAGTGCAAGGTCAACAAGGAGTCGAAGCCGGAAGTGCGGTTCTTCAAAGACGGAAAGCCGGTCGAGCTCGGCCCACATATGGCACTTGAAGTCCGTGAGGATGGCACCATTCGGTTGACCATCAACAATGCGACGAAGGAGGATGTCGGCTCGTACAAGTGCGAGGCCTTCAACCCTGTTGGAATCGCGCGCACTGATGCTCCGTTGGAGCTGAAGCACGCTGGAGAAGGTGTGGAAGATCTGGGCGAAGAAGGAGTGCTTGGCGGGCTTGATGAGATGCCGAAGGGTAGGTTTTTGAGATTTTGTTTTAAATAAGTTTTTTATCGGTTTTAACCCCGTGTGCTCCTCTCCCACTCACACTTCCTATTACAACGACTTCGACAGGGTCATTTTAAAAACGATACATTTAGCCGAAACCGCAAAACAAGACGGTGGTGAGGGACCGCCAGAGTTTGTCGAGCTGCTCCGGTCGTGTACGGTTGAGGACGGCTCGAAGGCGGTGCTGAAGTGCCGTGTAAAGGGCGCGCCCAAGCCGACGATCAAGTGGACCAAGGATGGCAAGACCGTACGTTTTGCATCCCAGTGCTGTAGATGAAGCTTTTAGGTGGATATTGGTACCCGAATCCGCAGCGAGTTGGCTGAGGACGGCACCATCACGCTGTCCTTCGACTCAACTACTCAAGCCGACGCCGGCGAGTACAGATGCTTTGCTGAGAACAAGGTAAGAGAAGCGGTATAAGATTGACCTCACTATCTATCCTTTAGCACGGAAGCGCCTGGACCGAAGGCCCGCTGATCGTCGTCCAGAAGGGAGCCCCACTCCCCTCTGGAGATGCTCCGGACTTCCTTCAGCCTGTCCGACCCGTTGTTGTAAGTTCTGGAGCTCATTTTCGAATTCAATTCCGCTAGGTTACCGACGGCGAGACGGCAGTGCTTGAGGGCAAGATCTCCGGCAAGCCGAAGCCCACCGTCAAGTGGTACAAGAATGGCGAAGAGTTGAAGCCGTCCAACCGGGTTACCATCGAAGATTTGGCCGACGGTACTGTGAGGCTGACCATCAAGGTAATCCCTGAGCTCCATGTGACATAAATTTGAGTCTAGAACGCCTCGAAGGAAGACATGTCCGAGTACCGCTGCGCCGCCACCAACGAGTTGGGCGAGGTGTGGTGCGACGCGACGTTGACCGTCAAGCGTAAGTTGATGGTATGGTAGTAAAATTCTGGTATTTTTAGCTAAAGGAGAGGAGAAGGCCCCGGCTTTCACAAAGGAGCTTGCTCCAACTTCGGTAAACGATGGCGAGAAGGCCGTGTTTGAGTGCAAGTGAGTTATTCTAGGCTTAGGATTAGCTTAGGCCTACCTGACCAAACTCATCTGGTTTTTCAGAGTCGATGGCGACCCGCTGCCCAAGATCGCTTGGTCGTGCGACGGCAAGCCAATCGAAGACGGCAAGAACGGCATCAAGCTGGAGAGCCTCCCCGACGGCACTCAACGACTGTCAATTGATGCTGCTTCCCCCGCCCAGCAGGGCAACTACAAGGTCGAGGCCACCAACGACGCCGGAACGGCTAGCAGTCGCGCGCCACTCACCGTCAACCGTTAGTTCTAGAAAAGTCCATTTAACGCTACCTTTTTAGCCGCGTCATCTGGTCTCAAGATCAAGCGCGGACTGGAGGACGTCACGGTCCAGAAGGGCGTGAAGATTCGACTCTCCGTAGAGGTCGAGGGCCGCCCGAAGACCGTCAAGTGGTACAAGGGCACCGAGCAGGTCACATCAACAAAGTAAGTCGCTGCAAATTATGGTAATTTATTGCCCTGTCTATTTCAGGACCACCCGCCTCGAGCAAGTCTCCGAGAACGAGTACGCGCTCGTCATCGAGGCCGCCGAGATGGCCGACACGGACTCGTACCGCGTTGTGCTGTCCACCGACGGTGAAGCGGTCGAATCGTCGTGCCGTGTCACTGTGGTGGATGGTGGTGACAAGACGCCGACGTTCAAGAAGGGACTCTCTGACAAGAAGGTCCCCAAGGGGCAACCCCTCGTCCTCGACATCGAGGTCGATGGCAAACCGAAGGCCGTCAAGTGGTACAAGGGCAACGACGAGATCAAGGACGGGCCCAAGGCCAAGATCGAGGCCCTTGGAGATGGAAAGTACCGACTTACCATCCCGGATTTCCAGGTAGATCTGAAAAACTAGAACCTTAAAGTCATTGTTACAGGGAGACGATGTGGGCGACTACCGCGTGGTCGTCTCCAACGACGCCGGCGAGGCCAAGAGCTCTGGAAAGGCCGACTTGGCTGACGGTGGCGCCAAGCCGGAAATTGTTTCCGGTCTAGTACCTATCTCGGTAGCTGCCGGAGAGACGGCCACGTTCCGCGTCAAGACCAAGGGGCCCATCGACAGCGTCAAGTGGTACAAGAACGGACAGGAGATCCCCGCCCCGAAGGCCGAGGCCCTTGGGGATGGCGTCTACCAGTTGACGATCCCCAACGCCAAGAAGGACGACGAGGCTGAGTACAAGGTAAAACTTCACTTTTGGTTTTAGTCCATTCCAAATGTACCTCAGCCTTACACTTTTGCCGTAACTACACCATGAATTACATGTCGTGTACCTTCACCTTTAACCTGAAATTCAATCCTAAAGCTCGAGTTTTAACGCACTTTTTAAAGCACATCCCACCCACCCCAAAATCACCCCCCGCACCACCCTAACCATCATTCCTTACCAGGTGGTACTCGGCAACGCCGCCGGAGACGTCGACTCTTCTGCAGCCCTCACCGTCAAGCCCGAGGCCAAGAAGGACGAGCCCAAGAAGCCAGAGCAACTCGGCATCAAGCGGAAGCTGCAGGACACCACAGTTCCCAAAGGCGAAGACGCCGTTCTGGAGATCGAGACCACGAAGCCACCAAAGGAGGTGAAGTGGTACAAGAACGGCAAGGAGGTCGCTGGAAAAATCAAAGCTGAAAAGGTTGACGACAACAAGTACCGCCTCGTCATCCCCAAGTGCGATGATGACGATGTGGCTGATTACAAGGTTGTTCTGAAGGATGATGACGGCTTTGAAGTCGAGGATTCTTGCCGTCTGACGGTGAAGTTGCCGGGCGATGAGAAGCCTAGCAAGGCAGGAGATGACGGACCGAAGTTTGGCCTGAAAAAGGGACTCCAAGACACGAGCGTACCGCAAGGAGAAGACGGAATTCTGGAAGTGGAGGCGACCAAACCGCCGAAGGAGGTCAAGTGGTACAAGAATGGCAAGGAGGTCTCTGGAAAGGTGAAGGCTGAGAAGATTGACGATAACAAGTATCGCCTGACGATTCCAAAGTGCGACCAGGAAGATGAGGCCAACTACAAGGTGGTCTTGAAGGACGACGACGGTTTCGAGGTTGAAGACTCTTGTGCCTTGACTGTCAAACTGCCGAAGAAGGATGACGGGGGCAAGTTCGGATTGAAGAGGGGACTTCAAGACACTGCTGTACCTCAAGGAGAAGATGGTGTCCTCGAGGTCGAAACTACCAAGCCCGCCAAGGAGGTCAAGTGGTATAAGAACGGCCGCGAAGTCACCGGAAAAGTCAAGCCAGAGAAAATCGACGACAACAAGTACCGTCTAACCATTCCCAAATGCGACCAAGACGACGAGGCCAACTACAAGGTGGTCTTGAAGGACGACGACGGTTTCGAGGTTGAAGACTCTTGTGCCTTGACCGTCAAACTACCAAAGAAAGATGATGGTAAGAAGGACGACGGTGCTCCTGGCTTCAAAAAGGGGCTGGAAGACCTTATCGTCCCCAAGGGCAAGCCAATTCACTTGGAGGTCGAGACAACTGGCTCTCCAAAGCAAGTCAAGTGGTACAGGAATGGCCGGGAGTTAACCGACGCCGATGCGAAACCCACGAAGCTTGATGACAACCGTTTCGCCCTCGACATCACGCAGGCCGGCCCGAACGACGAGGGCCCATACAAGGTCGAGATCTCGAACGACCACGGATCCGCCACCTCTGAGGGCAAGGTCGAGGTGGACGAGCCGCTGACATTCCTTCGCCCACTCAAGGATGTTGATGTGGTGGAGGGAGAAGAAGCTGGCTTTGTCGTGGAGACAAATGCGCGGGTTAGGACCGTCCGCTGGTACTCGAACGGACGGGAGCTGGTCGCAAATGAGCGGCTACAAATCACTGCCGAAGGAAAGAGCTTCCGGCTGACAATCAGAAGAGCCGAGAAGAGCGACGCCGGAGAGATCAAGGTAACTTCGAAGGGTAGTGAGAAATTCCGGAACGCTACTAATTTCGGAGAAATATATTTGAGTGTTACGGAATTTTTCAATATCCGGCTCGGAGAATTTGGAGAGCACCCCAATTTTGCCCTGTCACCGCATGACCGCTTACTAACGTTTCAACAAAGTTAGATAGAAATAGGAAAATCAAGTATCTGGTTAAATGGTGTCTCTAGGTCGTGCTCGGTAATGCCGCCGGTGAGGCCGAGTCCTCTGCGAAGCTGACGGTGAAGAAGGGTACCAAGGGAGCACCGAAGATCCTGAAGGGACTTGAGGATGCTGTCGTGGCAAAGGGTGATAAGCTCGTCTTCGAAGTTAAGGTATCGTTTGATAAGCCTAAGCCTAAGCAGGATCCGAAGCAGGAGCCCAAGCCTAAGCCCAAGCATCAGTTCCAAAATGCATGACATCCTCCACTTCCAGGTCGAGGGCGATGATGTCACGGTGAAGTGGCTGAAGGATGGAGCACCAATTCCCGCCTCAGCAAATGCTGTCATCGAGAAGATCGACGATAATACGTAAGTTTCGCTAACCTCCCTGAAATCGCTGCTTGTTCAGCTATCGCCTGACCATCCCTAAAGCCGACGTTGGCGATGCTGGCAAATACACCGCTGAAGCGTCGAACGACGCTGGCAAGGCCAAATCAGACGCGAAGGGAGAGGTTGACGAGAAGCCCGAGATCACCCGGGCTCTTGAGCCAGCTGCGATCGATGTGGGAGATGATCATATCTTCCGGTAAACTTAATTCAATCAATGCGCTTACTTGCTTTGCCCTATTTTTGCATCAATTGTTTTACAGTGTCGAAGTCTCGAAGCCGGTCCGCCAGGTGAAGTGGTATCGCAACGGGCAAGAGCTAAAACCCGACAAGCACATCGAACCCCGCCAAGTCAACCCCAAGAAGTTCGAGCTGGCCATCAACAAGGCGCTGCTCGACGATGGGGCCACGTACAAGGTATGGCGCGCACCGGTCTGGCTCAAATGTAGATGACCTTCAGGTGGTCCTGTCCAACGCAGCAGGCGAGTGCGAATCGTCGGCCGAGCTGACGGTGGCCAAGCCCGAGTCGCTGAAGCTGCTTGAGGGACTCAAGGACGTGACCGTCGATGAGGGACAGCCTATAGAACTGAAGGTACCGTGCTCCCCTAGAGTTTTTGATCATCAACAATCCTAGGTGAAAGTCGAAGGCCGACCTCGTCAGGTCAAGTGGTACCGCAACGGGCAGGAGCTTGCCCCAGGTGACGGCCTGGAGTTGAAGGCAAACCCGGAGAGCGGCGAGTACTCGCTGCGGATCCCGGCTGCAAAGAAGTCCGATGGAGCTGCATATCGCGTCGTACTGTCCGGTGAGAAGAAGGGCGTGGAGGTGGCATCGGGGGCTGTGGCTCACGTCAAGGCCGAGAGGCCGAAAGCCGAGCCTAAGCCAGCCATCTTCATGCAACCGTTGCGTGACACCGAGGTGCCGGAAGGGGAGACGTTGACGCTGACTTGCCAGGTTGGTTTTGAGACTTTTTAAGTACTCCACTAAACAACACATTTCAGATCGGCGGCGACCCGCTCCCCGCTCTCACCTGGTTCAAGGACGGCGCCGAGCTCGTCAAGGACGATCGCACCACATGGCGAGTCGCTCTTGACGGCACGGCAACGCTACGTGTCCGTGACGCCCGCGCCTCCGACTTTGGCACCTACAAGGTCGTCGCCAAGAACGACGCCGGCGAGGCGGACAGCCAATGCAAAGTCTCCGTTTCTGCTCGAAAGGAGGAGGCCCAGCCTCCGAAGTTTGTCATCCCGCTTCGAGCGTGTGCCAACGCGCTGGGCGCCAAGCAGGAGTTCAACGTCAAGGTGGGAAAGTTTTTGATTTCTCTAAAAGTTCTTTAGGTTCGCGGACATCCGAAGCCAACTCTGGAATGGACGATCGATGGAAAGCCGCTTGTCCAAGACGGCAGAATCACGGTCGAAGACATGGCTGACGGCAACTATTGCCTAACCATCCGTGACATCCGTGCCGAAGACTTTGGCGTCATCCGTTGCGTCGCCAAGAATGAGAATGGCAGCGATGATTGCGAGGCCAAGTTCGTGCAGGGTGTCCCGCAAGAAGGTGTCGATCGGGAGGGCGAGGGCTATCCGCCAAAGTTCAACGTCCCCCTGTGGGATCGTCGGATCCCGGTTGGAGATGTTCTGGCAATCGAGTGCCATGTCGATGCCAAGCCTCATGCTTCGATCAAATGGTTCAAGGACAACGTCGAACTGCTTGAGAGCGAGCTGTGTGAGATCCGAAACTCTGCCGATGGTGCCTGCCGCGTAAGGCTTGCCCGCTTCACTGAAGAACTCACCGGCTGCTACCGTTGCCAGGCAACCAACTGCTATGGTGTGGCTGATACTCGGGCGTACTACGAGGTCGAGCTCTTCAAGGAGGAGGAGATCGTCGAGAAGAAGGAACGAGCACCCAAGTTCAACCCCGGCCTTGAGGACAAGACCACCCGAGTTGGGGAGCGCCTCGTACTTTCTTGCAAGGTCGATGGCTCGCCTCTCTTGGTCATCACCTGGTACAAGGATGGATGCCCAGTACGAGCAGATGGGCGACACAGTCTAGAAGGACCGGATGAGAACGGTATTTGCCAACTGATAATCCACGACGTACTCCCCGAAGATGAGGGCGCATATCGGTGCGTGGCCGAGAATAGCTTGGGAAGCTGCAACACCGCTTGCCAAGTAACCGTCAAGACCGAGAAGGTCGAGAAGAAGCGTGAAGGGGAGGAGCCGTCATTTACCAAGGGTTTGGTGGATGCCTGGACCGAGCGTGGTGCTTCGCTTACGTTGAAGTGCGAGGTCCGTGGCGATCCATTCCCAGAGATCAAGTGGTATCGCAATGGAGCGCTTGTCCGCAATGGCCCACGGACTCGGGTGGAGACAACGCCAGAAGGAGTTTGTACTCTAACCGTCTCTGAATGCACAATGAGTGACGAGGGCATCTACAGGTGCGAGGCCGAGAACAAGCACGGAAAGGCCAAGACCCAAGCCACCGCCCATGTCGACATGGGACTCGGAAAGGCCGATAAGGCCCCGATTGTGGAGGGAGAAGCCCCGCGGTTCGTGATCCCGCTCTCCGACTGCACGCTGAGACTCGGATCGACGCTTGAGTTGGAGTGTAAGGTGACCGGAAAGCCGATGCCGAATGTGAAGTGGAGCAAGGATGGTGCGCTGGTTGCCGATGATGCGCGGTTTAGCTGGGATAACGATCAGAAGGTATGTCTAATTTTAAAGCTTAAGCCTATCCTGCTAATTTCAGAACGGCTCCTACCGTCTCTCCATCCGCTCTGCCACCGCTGCCGATGAGGGCACGTACCGATGCGTGGCCAGCAATGAGAGTGGCTCGGCTACGACGAAGAGTTTTGTCCGGATTGATGGTTGGTACCTTAAAAGTATTAAGCAAATATACTCTGAAAAATGGACCTAACTTTCCAACCCCACATCTGTTGCCCATAAAAATAAGGGGATGACCCCAAGGGAGCCAGTGCGATACTTCTTGCAAGCTGCTCTGCCTTTCAACGCAGTTTTCAAACTTTAATTACAAGTTCCTTTTAGAATTCACCCCATCTACAATCACCTCCCGACCCGAGCCGCCCCGCTTCTCGATCAAGCTGGGCGACGCGCGAGCCGTTGAAGGGCAGCCCCTGCACTTTGAATGCAAGGTATGCCTAAGCCGAGGCCTAAGAATAACCCTATACCTAAGCGAAAGCCTAATCCAAAATCTACCTTTCCAGATCGAGGGCTCACCCTTCCCGGAAGTGACCTGGTTCAAGGACGGCGCCCGAGTAACACCTGGGCCAAGAATCCAACTCTCTGTCGATCCCGCGACCGGAACTGCGTCGCTCCACATTCCAAGCTGCAACATGGACGATGAAGGTAAGCGGTGTTGTGTGCATCGTAACGTACTACTAGGTATCTACCGTGTTGTTGCCACAAACCCCGCCGGAAGTGCCCACGACAAGGGCCAGGCTACGGTTAAGCGAGCACCGAAAGACCAGCAGCCATCCGGCGCATCGCCTTTCGGAGGCGCTCCTGCATACGAGCAGGGCAAGGTGGGCTCGAGACTTTCAAGCGGTACCTTAATATCCTTCCAGGCTCCCAAGCTCATTGACGCGCTCGAAAACGCACGACTACCCGAAGGTGACAACTTCACACTCCGATGCAAATTTGCCGGCGATGGCTTGTCGGTGAAGTGGTATAAGGATGGAGAACGGTTGTTCCCCTTCGGACGGGTGCAAATTGTAGGTTACCAAGGGTCAAGGTATATCCCGTTAAGGCTGACCTGCCCGACGGCGTCTACGAGCTGCGCGTCGAGGGTGGTCAACGACAGGACACCGGTGCCTACCGGTGCGTGGCCGAGAATGCCTACGGATCTGCACGTACTGCCGGTGATGTCAATGTGCAACGTGGAGAGCGACGAGCTCCCTCTACGGAACCATCGAGGGCAGGTCGTGCTCCGGGCTTCACGATTCCGCTCACTGTCAAGGTGGTCTTGAATTTGTTTTCAAAATGGTAGATCTTCAGAGAGTGAAAGAAGGCGAGCCAGCCACACTGGAATGCTTGCCCTTCGGCGAGCCGTTCCCTACAATCAAGTGGTTGAAGGACGGCATTGAACTTGTTGCGGATGAGCGGATTTTGGTGGGTTTCGTGGATTTTCGCTCGTTGGAATTGAACTCGCGACAGGAATGAGGCCGTTTCCGCCAAAAAACGCTATATCACCTCTGCGTGTCTCTATGACTATCATTAGTGCGCGTCAGGCTGTTTGGCGCGAAATAAGGCTTAAGCCTAAGCCTAACTCTGAAGCTAAGCCTAAGCATAAGCCTAGCCTGAGCCTTAGCCTAAGCCTAAACCTACGTTTCAGATCGACGCACTGCCCGATGGAACGCAGAGGTTACGAATTCCCGCCACTACGTTCCTTTCCGACGGCTTCTACCGCTGCGTAGCTACCAACTCGCACGGAACCGCCTCCACCAAAGCCGAGCTCACCGTTGATGGTATGTTTTTATTTTTAGAAACCGCTTTATCGGGGCTTAATACTAGTCAATTCGAGATCAACCGATACTCGCGGGTCGAGCGGGGTAGGGGAACAACAGGCTGGATGAGTACGGGGCACAGGCTTAACAAGAAAATACCGGAAAGCACGGGGCGGAGCTGAACAACCAAAAATTGGAGTCGACGTTGCGTCTAGAAGGCTATAACACTAGACAATCTAAGTAAGGAAAGGTATAAAACTTGCGTTTCTTAAAAACTGATTAATTAGAAGTGTTTAGTCATAGTTTATACTTGCACACGGCGACGGCCCGGTAGAAGGACAGGATTTTGTCGGCGTAGTGGTTAATCCACCTTAACAAAAAGTTCTGATAATTCGTGAGGTATCCTTACTTTCCCCTTCTGTTCATCACCAGCACGGCCAACGACCTGCCGCCGTGCGGCATCCCTCGCTCCCAGTTGCTGTACACGAAATCGGAGCCTAACGGAGGCATCGTAAAAGTAGTAGAAGAACAATACCGTCCAGCCACGCCCAATTCTGGCGATCATTCGCATTCCCGAACGCTCCTAGCAGTATAAACTCAACGTCGGTGAGGGCGGCCTGGGCGAGGCTTCGAACGAAAGTGTTCTCCTCCTCGCTTAGCACCGAGGCCAGCATGGCATCTTTGTCGATTTCAGCGCCTAAAGGTATTAGAAAATTCTTGATCGTCTGAAGAACATTTTACCCATTTCGTAGCACCGAATATCGGCCGTGAGCATCGTCATATTATCCCTCGTCACGGCTCGATAGCAAGCTCGGGTAGCGCGATTGTAGGCCCAGTTTTTACCACAACCAACCTAGAATAAACGGTACTTTAAGTCAGATTTAAGGTTTGTAGATGCGGTACAGAAGCTCCCAAAAGTTTTTCGCTATAAATTTGTTTGTTTATTCGTCGAAAATTTTTGGAACTTTTGGCTTTGGGTGTAAAGTAAAATCTAGCCGTAGATACTTAGCAGTCAACCTAGCTATTTGACTAATGACTCCACCTTTTCCGGTTTCCCAATAGCTCGCCTTTCACAAACTGCATACGCTTTCGCAGCGCACGGTGTATTGGACCATTCCCCTTTTGAGTTTACTAAATTATTTTTGCAAGCTTAGCGGTTTTTCGCACCCGTAACGCAGCCGCTGCGCAATCGTCGGTCTCGTGAGGCTCCGCCAAAGTTAGAGTATCGTACAGGGCGATCTAAAACAGAGGCTGTCGTTTTCTAGTGTAGTGAAACCCACTATTTGGCCATCTCAACACATAGCCCGGGCTGAATAGACCGGCAGCACTATCGACAATGTCGAAGCGGGCTTTTGCGTCCATCCACACCGGCCACTCGTTCGTCATTTCTAGGATTTAAATTGGAAGTTACATATTAAAAAATTGCGTAACTGTCTGTAATATTTTAAAGCGTCTATTTTAGCAACCAGATTATACAGTGCCGTTTATACAGTACAGTAGGATTTTACTATAGCCCCCCCCAACGGAACTCCCAAAATCTTTCGCTATAACTTTTCTACCTTACATTATTCTGAGCTGGCAGTAAAACTCTTCGTAGGTTTTTTGATGTTCTATCGAATCGTGAAGCAAAAATCCCGATAAAATAGCGGATATGCCGAAAAATTGGGGCCTGGGTGCGGAGGGTAAAGTAAAATCTAGCCAAAGCAACTCTCTCCTACCCTGTAATTGTCGATTTTCCCTAGCATCCTCGATTCGAAGTAATGACGCTCGTTTCGACAGTCCTTTGCAGTACGCTTGGGCCTAAACAAAACTTTCGTGATACCCAAACAATGCCCACCTCATCATGCGTGTATCGCCTCCTCGACAAATAATAACAAGTCTTGGCCTTGGCGTAGTGAATCCATCCCTTCGGACAACGATCCGCCACCAGCGCCCGTGGGGCACAGATCGTTTGATGGACAAGAAGAAATGATACGATGATGCAGACAGTTCCGAGCATCCGATTTGTCAGCGGCCACAGCGTGCGTGTTTGGGGCCCACCTCTTAGGTCCCGGAGGATGCCTTTATGGATTGGGGTTGTGAGTCAGTCTTTTTTGGGTCGGGGCCCCGGCAAATATAGACTCTCACCAGAGGGTGGCCACTCAGCCGTGTAGGCGACGCGTTGACTCGCCTGGAATAGGTATTTGGGGTGGGAATTGAAGGTGAAAATAGCATGAAAGAGCCGGTGAGTTCTGAGGTGAACGCTGATTCATAGTTGTGGATTATTTATCACTCAGTTAGCGTCGTGTCAAGGAGCTTAAGCTTAGGCTTAAATTTGGCTTAGGGTTGGCTTAGGCTCGGCTTCGGCTTGGTTAAGCTTGGCTTAAGCTCGGCTGAGAGTTAGACTTAGGTTTAAGTTTATACTTATGTTTATGCTTAGGCTTAGGCTTAGGTTAGGCATAGACTTAGGTTTAGGCTTAGACTTAGACTTGGTTTAGGCTTAGGCTTCGGCATAGGCTTAGTCTTAGCCTTGGGCTTGGGCTTGTCTTAAGCTTAGGCTTAGGCTTGGCTTAGGCCGGGTTTATTCAATCGGGAAGAAGTTGTGAGCAATTCACGATCGTAAAAAACAGTTAAACGACGAAACAAAATATTTTTAAATGTGTTGTTAAGAACGCCTTTTCGAGAATGCAATGATTTTATACTTTGCGAATTAAAACTCTATCAAATTTTCAAAACTGCTACAAAATAATCACTCCCCAAAAATTGGTAAAGTATGCTCTGCTCTGGTCGACGTAAATCTGAAGCCCGCCGGGGGCCGGCGGCTGAGGCTGAATAAAATTTCCGTCAATTTCCGCCCGGCTCTGGCGGTTTGGGCGGGCGGCCCACGTGGGGCTGTTCCGAGAAGTGCATTGCTAGAAAATACATGACAAGTCAGGGCTTTAAAGTGAAAAACTAAATGTCTTAATTTTCAGGCGATCGCACGGCAGCGTCGAGGAGACATTCTGAGGAGCCGACAGGTCCGGTTGACTCGAAGCCGAGGATCAGGAGAGGGCTCTACCCAACTGTTGTACATCAGGTATGATTAAGCTTAGCCTAAGCCAAGTCCAAGCCTATCTTAAGCTTTAGCCTAACCTTAAGCCCAAGTCTATGCCTAAGCCTATGCTTAAGCCTAAGTTTATGCCTAAGCTAAGCCTAAACAGCGACTAAGCCTAAGCCGAAGCCAAGTCCAGCCCTAACCTAAGCCTAAACCGAAGCCTACTCGTAAACATCTTTATTTCAGGGCGCCTCCGTCGAAATGATCGTTTGCGTTACCGGCTGGCCGACACCAACCGTCAAGTGGTATCGCAACGGCGAAGAGATCGTTCCCGCCACCGACGATGACCGACACGTCGTCTTCACCGACGACCGTGGCCTCCACCATCTCGTCATCGTCAATGCACAGCCCGAAGACGAGGCTGAATACGCCCTCGTCGCCCAGAACCCGCTCGGCGAAGCCAGAACTGACGGTACCTTAAGTGTAATTCGTCCTCGAGGAGGTGACGGTGGCGATGAGGACCGGAGAAAGGGCGCCTATCCGCCTGGCTTTGTTCGTCAGCTGAAGAACAAGCACGTGTTCACCAAGCTGCCGACGATCTTCGATTGTTTGGTGGTTGGCGAGCCGTCGCCAACCGTCGAATGGTTCCACAATGGCAGACGCGTGAAGCCGGGCCCAAGGCATAGGATTCAGACGGCAAAGGTGAGTGAAATTCTAAATATCAATGCGCTTGTTTTAGGGAGGTTCCCACGCTCTGATCATCTTGGAAACTGAAGAGGGCGACGCGGGCGAGTACGTGGCCGTGGCATCAAATTGCCATGGTACGGCTTCGTCATCAGCTGTTCTCGACGTCACCCGACCGTTGCTTGACGACATCCGCTTTGATGGGACTGTCGATGTGGGACCGCTGTTGACAGAAGAATATGGGTTCCGGCCTAAGATCTCCATGTCTTCACTCCCTACTCCACCAGATCGTGGTCCTTTTATTAAGGAGGTAGGTAGCAGAACACACACACTCTCTCTCCTCTCTCTCTCTCTCTCTCTCTCTCTCTCTCTCTTCTAGAATAATTTACTGCTTCTCTAGGTCACTGGCCATTACTTGACGCTGTCGTGGATCCCGACGAAACGTGCGCCACCCCGCTACCCGCAGGTCACGTACGTCATCGAGATTCGAGAACTTCCGCACAAGGAGTGGTCACTGGTAAGTCTAAGCCCAAGCCTGGACCTACGCCTAAGCCTAAGCCTAACAAGCCCAACCGCTTTCAGCTCGACTACAACATCCCCGAGCCGGTGTGCAAGGTGCGGAACCTGGAGCTCGGAAAGTCTTACCAATTCCGGGTTCGAGCCGAGAACATCTACGGCATCTCGGAACCCTCACCGGCATCCCCGCCAAGCAGGTAGCCACTGGCTTCGGCGGGCCACTAAGCCACTTGAATTTTCTAGATTGATGGCCCCGCCCCAGCCAGTGTTGGACAAGAACAAGAAGATCATCCCCTTGCTGGACCCGTACGCCGAGCAGGCGTTGGACAAGGCTTATGCCGAGCAGTATGGTGGGTTGAGAGTGAACAAGCGCTAACAGTGCACAATTGCAGCCTGCGCCCCTTGGTTCGCCCCTGGCATCGAGGAGAAGCGGTACTGCGCCGAGGCGGACAGCATTAGCATTGTGCTGAATGTTCAGGTGGGTCTCACTCTCACTCTCACTAGCCTAAGTCTCAGCCTAAGCAGCCTAAGCAGCCTAAGCAGCCTAAGCAGCCTAAGCCTAACCTAAGCTTCAGCAAGCTTGAGCGTAACCTAATCCTAAGCCTAATCCTAAGCCTAGCAAGCCAAAGCCTAATCCTAAGCCTAAGCCTAACTTTCAGGGATACCCCGATCCACAAATCGTCTGGAAATTCCGCGGCGTGGACATTGACGTAACGGACCCCTTGTGTCGATGCAAAATTCATACCTATGGAGGTTCCGAAACGATCCTAACGATTTCTGGATTCAACAAGGTATCTTGAGCTTTTTTGAACTTCATCTAATGAACCAAAATTCAGTCCAACGTCGGCCAATACCAGTGCTTGGCCACCAACCAGTACGGTGACGCCCAGCAGAACATCTTTGTCGACTTGGCGAGTAAGTTGTGGAGGTGGAAATGTAGATATGGTCCAGTTTAAGCCGACCAAGCTAGGCCTTAAGCCTAAGCCTAAGCTTAATTCTAAGCCAAGCCTAAGCCTAAACCTAAGCCCATGCTGAAGCTTAAGTGTAAGCTTAGTCCTAAGGTGAAGCCTAAGCCTACGCCTAAGCCTAAGCCTCAGCCTAAGCCCAAGTCAGGCCAAGCCTAAGCCAACTTTTTTAGCACGCCCCGAATTCGTACAACCCATGTCGAACCGAACGTTCGGCGCGGGACAACCACTAAAACTCGAGGTGCGCGTTGAAGGCAACCCGGCACCGACGGTCAAGTGGATGAAGGTAACGTCTCTCTCTCTCAATCTCTCTCTCTCACTCTCTCTCGCGCTCTCTCTCTCTTTTTCTCTCTCTCTTCCTCTCCCTCTCTCTCTCCCTCTCTCTCTCTCTCTCTTTTTCTCTCTCTCTCTTCAATACTCTTTCCTAGGAATGGAAGCCAGTCGTCGGGTCATCACGGGTCAAGCTCGGCTTCGAGGAGCCCTGCACGCACACGTTGACCATTGGTAAGCCCGAGCCTAAAAATCACGTACAATCCTTCTTTAGCGGAACCAATGTGGCGCGACTCCGGCGTGTACAGCTGCGTCGCTTCCAACGAGGCCGGCCAGAGCACGTCATCGGGAAATGTGACCGTAGAAGGTGGGGCCCCGCCCAGCGGCCCGATCAGCTCGATCCACTCGGATCGGCTGCTTCTCGACTGTCTATACGCCCGACGCATGCTTTAATTTGAACAGTACTACACCTCACAGTACACCACACTACTATGGACTTCTACTGAAGAGATAGAAGCTGAACATTTACGCTCTTGATTCACCTATTTTCTTGTAAATCCGGCGGTGACGTTCTGACATTGCTATGATCATCTACAACAAAAGTTCAAGGAGTTTGGAGGCTTTCTTTATAACACCTAGGGGGAGAGAGCCATCTGAACTGCTTGAACTTGTTGGAGATACGTCATTTTCCATTTCTCTTTCACATCTGGTAGATAAAGTTTTGCCTTGAAGAGGGAGATATCTAGGCCGTTTTCAAGAAGTTTTCCGGCTCTCTTTATAACACCTTGGGGGAGAGAGCCGTCTGAACTTCTTGAACTTGATGAACCCGTTTTTCCGAGGGATGACGTTGGGGGACGTCGCCCTCACTTCCGGAAGCGGAAGATCCAAATTTTTGAGAATTCCTCCTCAAGCCCAAAACTTTATCTACCCAGAATTCTCTCTTTTTGTACAAACCAAACCGAACGACGAGACGACGATGCTGAACAATCGACAACGCCCTTTAAAGCTCAATTAACACTGCCAAAATCAATATTTACATATCCCGGCAGAAGAGTCCCCTAATTTCCGCTAGACTCCCCAGAAATTTTGGATTTTTGCTAAAAGGTGACCCAGGTTTTTGGAATTAGTTACGGTATCTAGGTCACGTTTTAGCAAAAATACCCGTTTTCTACGCGCCACTCCGGTGTTTTACTTTGGTATTGGTGTTTGATTCCCAGTCTAGGACGACGCCTATGCCTAACCTATACAATTTGTGTACCCACCGAGTGCCCATTCCATTTTACACTACGCACCCACCCCCCAACGACACTGCCAGTCGACACGCAGGAAAAACAAAATTTTCTTAAAGTATTTTTAGAGTTTTATACACCCCCTACTAGCCATTACCTTGATTCTAAAGATGCGTGTGTGATAATTTAAGCTTTCTGAGAGATGTGTGGCCCCACTTCTACTTCTTTTGCCCTGCCCCCCACTGTCTCCCCAACCATTTTCCATTCGATAAAGCGGATATTTGCTAATATACACCCACAGAGTCAAATATTACTTTTCAGC